CCCGCCTGCCGTGAGCACCTGGCCGGGGGCGTTCGCGGGGCTTTGCGGGGTCCTGTCAGCACAGCAAAGCAGTGAGTGAGCTGCGCGGGGTGTGCTAGGGTGATGCTGAAGGATAACGCAATATAAAGCACCTAAGCATCAAGACAGGACTGGCACATGCAAATAAGTATAATCTGGCTTTGGCTTTCAGGGGTATTCGGGGCTTTCTGGATATTTAATAGCCACTAAGTTTTGTAGGGTTTTTAGTTTGTTCACTTAGGGGTTTTTTTAATATGACCCCAATTTAGCAATTTAGTCTCAGTATTTAGAGAGGGGAAACAGTAATTGCAGTACTCCCATTTGGAGTATGACAAATGCATGTCATAGACACATAGAACGGTTTGGGTTGACCTTCAAAGGCCTTCTAGTCCAATCCTCCTGCAATAAGCAGAAATATCTTCAACTAGATCAGGTTGCTCAGAGCCCTGTCCAATGTGACCTTGAATGTTTCCAAGGATGGGGCATCCACAACATCTCTTGAAACCTGTCCCAGTGTTTCACTGCTCTAGTTGCACAAAATTTCTTCCTTAGATCTAGTCTAAATCTATTCTGGGTCTAAACCCATGTGATTGATGTTAGAGAACCCTGCCAATAAGCCCTCTGAATAGGGAGATGTGCTTCTTAACATTTTTTATGCCACAGATGTGTGTCTATTTTATAAATTTTTGGAAACATGAGCAAGGCTGATTGTAGAGTAGCAGCCTTTTTGAGGTAGCAGTGAAATATTGCTCTTCCTAAACCTAGTCCTTGAGGCCATACTGGTAATATGCTGCAGATTTTTTTTTTTATTACTGTGGGAGTACTGCAGTAAAGTTTAATTCTGTACTATTATGTCTGTTCCTTGAGCACAATATACAGGCAGAGTCTTAAACACTGAGAAATCTGAGCACATTGATAGATACCTTTGATGTGATTAAGACATTCCCAGTAAATTATTCACCAGATGGTACATCAAAGGAAGTTACTCAAATTGCTTTTCAGAGCTTCAGCTAATCTCTGAAGTGTGTGGGCTACCATCCAGGCTGCAGCATTTTGCATGAGTTGGTTGTCCTTTATTACCTTGCCTAAATGTGGTGATTTGCCCTTCTCTTGTCATCAAGCAGTACCAAAGCCTAGAAAGGAGGTCAGGAGGGAATAGCTTTGAACAATGTTTGCTGCCAGATTTGGGACTCCTCATTTTTTCTTTGTAGGAGGCCAACACTCACAGGATATAACCATGTTTTGTTTCCCACTTTCTTGGCTGTTGCCCTCTACTGTCCAATCTCTCTCTGTTGTGCCCATTGCCTTCCTAGCTCCTCCATGTCACAGGTACTCGGTGCTGATGCTCCACGGTGCAGATGAATGCTCTACATGATGGGATGCTACCTGAGGCTTCATCCACATTTAGAAGAGGTGACACCCACCTGCCCTCTGCAGCTGACAGTAATAAAAAGGAACATGGTCTTAAGGAACAGAAAATGTTGATGACTTTGAAGGAGCCCATTGTTCTGCAGCCTAAGCTACATGGTTTTGGCCCATTAGATCTGAAATCAGGCAACCATTTAGCCCCAGAAGTTCTTCTTTCAAGATTTCTCAGGGTTTACTTGAGCTCCAAGTATTTGTTTTGCTGGATTGGGATCCAGCTCCTCATGTCTTCAGTTTTCAATTCCTGATGCTGCCATTTAGATGTCCAGTTCAGTCATTCTCTCAGCATTTGGATAGGAACAGACTCCCTTTAATACACAGTAACTGTGCAGAGAATGTGCATCAGCCATTAGATGTCTGAGCTGTATCCTCTCTGATTTAAATCTGGAGTGGGTAGAATCTACCCCTATCACTTAGACAAAGCCCAAATTGACACAGTCATGATGTAGGACTCTGTGAAATCCTGCCAACTGCTGGGGAGGCATTATCCTGTTTATTTGTATACATCACTCTCTTTCAAGATCTTTTTAAACACTTTGCAGTATAATTTCCAGAAGGATAAAAGTTATTTAAATGAAAACAGCATGTACCAACCTGTTTGGTGCTGCAAGGGAGGTGGAATATTAAAAGTATTCAGCCTTTTTTCAGGTTGTAGTCTGCAGCTGTTTTACAGGGTCCCATCTGACCTTAAAATAGGTTAAAGCTTCCTTAAAGCTGATGATTCCACTTTACTGAAGGTAGACAGAAAAAGGAATATTATAAAACTGGTTTTCTTTTTACAAGTTACTGTACTTGTTTATCTTATGATGTTTTATTTTTCTTATTCTAAATGAGGAACATAGGTGAGCCAGTTTTGTTTTCACTTGCCCTTCAATGCTGACATGTTTGTGGGAGCCTTTTTTATGTGGTGTAGAACTGGATTCACTGTGATGACTTTGGCTACATTCAGCAGCCTCTGATTTCCTTGTTTGTGTGCTGGTTTGCTTTGAAAAGGTGTGTCAAAAATTTTTGTCTCTCCTCTTCACACCCACGCTCCCCACACAGGTCTTCATTGCATGATCTAGCCCGTTTATAGGAGACATGAATTTGCATGGAATTACTTTTGGGGAAGTTTGCCTGAACTATATATGGTTCCATAAAAACCCACAGCTGCACATCCGTTGCCACTGCATACAGATGGGATTGGGAGTTTGGCTCAGTCCCCTCATTCTGTAAAGCTGTGCCCGAAATAGGTGTGCCTATTCAGCTCACTTAATTTGTATGCTGGGAATGCTGTGTTTTTCTCACTGCTTGAGTGTGAACTACAGATGCACACAACTTGAGCAGCTGAAACTTACCTGCATTTAATACTTGCCATCTTCCTGTTTATTGAGAGGAAGTAAGAAGTGACTAGTAAAATCTAAGGAAAGACCTTAGAAACTTGAAAGAAGTATTTGAGTGATTCATGTGGCAGTGGTGCCTTAGATGAGGATTCATATTACCTTTACATGCAGATATATTCAGGAATCATCAAAGATACAACAATGTTCATTTTGCTGCCACTGGCACTCATACCCACGCAGTAGGAAGGAGGCTTTTGCATTTTAGCATACTGATTGAATGGCACTGCTTGCAGGGAGAGTGAACAGGAGGGAGGAGAACATGAATGTATGTGTTGAGTTTGTGACTCTTGGTGCTGGTTAGTTGTTGCCTTCTCCTCCTTTTGAGGGGCACTCCAATCTGAATGTCAGTCTTCCATCTTTTGAAATCATACATGAAGTCAAATCTGTGTTTTCAAATGAGTTGCCACAACATCAAGAGAGGCACCAAGCTGCAAGACTGCCCTTGGTCCTGCAGCAGCTTATCCTGCCTGGTTTGCAGTCAGCTTCCAGCCTTCCTTCAGGCTCTCCAAACTCATTATTGTCCTGATAGGAAACCCCTGGCTGGAGCTGACTCTGGAAAGTTGTTGATCTTTCCTCTTCTCTACCCATACTGTTGCATGCTCTTATGGGAAAATAGAGACTAAAGGGTTCTGTTTTGGGTTGATTTGCACCATTTAGTCCATACATGGTGAGAGTTTTCAGATGTCAAATGGCTGTGAGCGTATTTTCCCAGAGACAGGAGAAGATGGGCTGTGGGGAGGAGTGTCAGCAGGAGATATGGCTGCAACTTCAGCCATTTTCATTTTCCTTCCAAAAAAGTGACTTCAGTTAGTTAGGAGGATAAAGAAAATATAACTATCACCTCTTGAGAGGAAAAGCTGGGGGGATTTACCTTCCAGCCAAGTGACTCTTTGCTGTGCTTATTTTGAAAGGGAAGAGGAACATACTGAGTTTTCAGTGCCTCTTCTTCAGAGGTCAGAAGTCTAAGCTCTGAGTTGTAACATCCATGAAAATAAACTGGAGCCTTTTAACAAAGCCATTTCCTGCTCCTCATGTGAGCAGCCACAGTGTAGCAGCACCTCTGTCTACAGCCCTGGGACTGTCAGGATGAGGATTCCGTAGCTTTAAGATCAAAATACATTGCAGATGGTAATCTGTGATTGAAGCTAAGATATTTCTGGGGGGAGCACTTTCTAACATGGCTGATAGTAAAGCCCAAGTAATGGAAGAGAAGAATCCAGAGCTCATCCCGTTTCAGTTTTAGTTTATTTGAAAATGTTGCTTGTTCCCATGTTCTGGCCAGGTAATGCTATCACATAATCCAAAATGGATTTGGGGTCAACCAGAAGGGACAGCACAAGCAAAGAAGTTTCCACACATCTGGCCATATAAACAAATCAATGGCACAAAGCTCACAGTTCTTCCATCACTGGTCTTTCTGCAAATTAAAATATCAATATGAATGATGATAGGTTTTTGCAAAATCATGTGCCCACTGAAGTTTCAATTAGCAGAACAACGGCCAAGTGCTGGTTGGAATGAAGCATTGGAAAGACAGAACCTCGGAAGGTATTTATGGCCCTTTCAACTCAAATTCAATTTCATTTCAAATTACAATTCAATTTCAAATGTCCTTTAGGCATTTTCTGTATTCAGATAAGAATTTTTAAATCATGAAGAAATTACCATTACATTTCCTATGTAGTATCCATACTAATATAACTTGGAATTATTTAATTTTCTTAAGTAAAATCCCAAATTCATGTCAGTTCTTATAGCCAGGGACTTAGGTGCCACTGAGAATTTGCTGTGTTGCTTCTGGTTCCTGCTGGCATGGGCTGTTTGGTATTTGCTGTCACATATCAGCAATCTTAACATATGATTTTTAAGGACCACTACATTTGGGCCACTTACCTACATATGATAATGCAATAACTCAGAAGGAACACAAAGGAAGAGTATACTGAAAAATATCCAAACTGTGAAGCATACAGTACACAGCAGTTCTTTCAAAAGGAGGAAAACCAAAACAGGAGGAAGGGAATAAAATGTCAGTTTGGGCAATAAAAGGTATTTTATTCTCTGTTTACTATTACACAATGGTAATAAATTCAAACCAACAGGGAAACCTTAGCTTGGATTCAGAAGAATACTGACAAAACTTAGTAGAATGCTACAAACTTTTCTGTAGCTTGAGTGTAGTAAATTCTATTACCTGAGAAAATTTGGCTCTGCAGCTTTTCACATTGATGCCATATATTAAATGATTCCATATCTTAAATTCCCTTCTGCTCAGGGTACCTGCATCCCAAGTATCACACAGGGACACAGAAGACAGTTCAGACTTGTGTCTTTAATGTCATCTGAAAGTATATTGATTTTATTGGGTGCTTAGGGACAATTCTATTCCTTCACACTCTTTCCTCTTTTTTCTGATATTCATGTGAGCAGTTCACTTTGATGTTTGCATTACATGTAAAGGTCTGGGGGATCAGCTATTGCTGTCCTGGGACAATGACTGAGGCTGGAGGCTTCTGCTGGGTAGGACTCTGAATGGGGGGGATGAATGAGGCTTTCAAAGTTACTGGAGAGGGGCTCACTTAAGCCAACAGCCTTTCTATATCATAAAGAGAAGACACAATCTACAGGAAAGGGACTAACTTAGAAGAAAAGTACAGAGCACTCATCAGTTCCTACATGGCAGTGAGATGAAAGAGCCTGGTTTTCTCCAGTGTTTCAGCTTTGCTGCTAACATGCAGTTTTCAGATTGCAGCCAAGCAATGCTCAAACTGGGAAGGAAAAATGATATTTTTCTGCACAGGATGCACAGCTCTTCTGGAGTCCTTTGCCTCTTCTGCAGCAGATTGCATGTGACAAGGACAGATATCTGTTAGATGGGGTGAAAATCACCTGAGCATGAAAGCAAGGCAATTGTTTGTCTCTTGGTGCAGCCCTGCTCTTCTCTAAATGGTACTCACTATGGAAGTGTTAGGCAGTGTCTTGCTGCAGAAATGGGCCTCTATTTACATCAGGTATTTTGTGCCAAATGGTCTGTGTTAAAGCAATGTCTTGTGTAGTGCAAGCTGAGGTGAGTTTGTTCTTCGAGGGACTATTTAAATTCTGTTGTTTTAATGAATGCTACTCTTTGCAGTTGCTAAATCTGCAGTGTTCAGAGCAAGGCGCTGGACTGTCTTTAATACCACTTTGAAGGCCCTGCCTGTGAGCATGCAAGAAGGTTCTGTCAAATAGTTTTATGCACAAAGGAGCTTCTTCTCAAAAGAAGGCTCTGAAGTCAATGACATGTTCTTATTCACAGGAGCTAAAAAGTGCAGTGAACTAAAGATATGTATGCAGGTAGCAAACAAATAAACAAGCTGTGCTCTAGAAAATGTAACAGATACATATTCTTGGAAAAAATGGATAAATAAAAGGCACAGTCCTTGGGAAATACTGTGCTCCTGCCACTGCCACATGTACAGTGAAACATAGATATATTTACAATTTGAAAGATAGGTAAGAGTCAATATGTAAAAAATTCCTGAAAACAGAGGTTTTCACATCCACATCTATCTCTCAGGCAGTAGGTCTTGAAGGCTGTGTAACCAGACACTTCTGGCTCCATCTGAGGCTGGGAACTGAAAGAACATGTGTTCACCAAAGGAGAAAAATATACTGGGCCATGGTGTTTTCTATCTTTTCCTCAAATTTTTTTGCCCCCAGATGGCTGCTAACTTTATATAATTTGCAGCCAAGGATCCTCCCACAAGGAGCAGGAACAGAGCCCAAACAGATCTCATCCAAATGGGGCTTGGTTCTGTCTCCATACTGATTCATGCCTATGCTAAACTCAGGTGAGCCTTCCCAGCATGCAAAATTCCCCATGCAGTTTCTCTCCAAGGCTTTAATGAAAGCTGCAGTGCTACGTGTGATTAGAGTCCCTTTGAAACATTTTATCCCAACTCAGGCTGTTTGGTTAGATCACTAAATTTAGTTTAGAAATGCTCAGAGGTGAAACCATTAGTAAGTAACAAGAGAATGATTCATTCCTTACAAAAATCTGATGCCTCAGAGGCATAGCCTGGAGAAGTCGTTTGCCATGGATGACTTTCTAGCCAGCTATTGAGATGACTGCCAGTAAAGTACACTTGGTGGCATGTAATGGATTGTAGGAAGAGTAAGAGATGGTGCTGAAGGCAATCTCACCCCTGAGGAGTTGCAGCTGTACTAATTACCAAGGATTAGGAACAGGCCTGCCTTTAATAGGCCTCAGCTGTGTCCAATTAAGGCTTACCTTTAATAGGGCACAGCTGTGTCCAATAAGGATGGGTGTTAGAGAAGGGTGGGTTAGCTGCTCTAGAGGGGAGTTGGAGAATGTGCTGGGAAGAGGAAGGGTCAGGTGGTTGGGTAAGGGACAGTAGGGGTGTGTGTGTCCCATGAGGGACAGCAAGGGTCAGGTGGTTGTGTAAGGGATAGTAGGGGTGAGTATTTCCCATGAGGGACAGTAAGGGTCAGGTGGTTGTGTAAGGGACAGCAGGGGTGAGTATTTCCCATGAGGGACAGTAAGGGTCAGGTGGTCATGCAGAAGAAGGACAAAAGGAGTCAGCGTTGTGAGGAGCTGCCCATGAGGACTCCCAGAGAAGGTATGAAGGTTTTACAGTAAGGTAACAATCCACTATGGTGCCACAGATGTATGAAACTTATTACTTCGAAAATTGTCTAAGAAGTTCTCCACCAACCTAGCAATGTCATGTCATAAGATAATTTGAAAGGAATGCCTAAAAATTGTGTGACTAAGGTGGTAATGAGAAAAACCTGTTGAGATTAGTAATGTGTGTACTGCCTGCATGAAAGCTGCCAGTGAAGTTCTGGGTACTGTGGTGCCAAGTGGCTGTTTAAATCCATTCAGCAAGAGTGTGTTCTTGTCTGTGTAGCCACATGTGTGTGTGAAAGAGCCTGTCCCTCACAAAAGTGTGAGAGAGATGGACTTAAGGAGAGAGACTTTAGGCAAAGGGCAGTTGAGGAGCAACAGCCCACTTGCATCTTTCAAAGCTCCCTCCTGGAGCTTCTGCTAAAGATGGACGTTAATACACTTCTGCTGTATGGCAGAGTAGGGGTGTTTTCAAAAAAATAAGACTTTGTTGTGATTGTCCACACTATGAACTAAACTAAGAAAAAATGGTCTTCCTTTTAGGTAGTGGCTTGCTTTTGCTGGTGTTTTCTCTCACAAAACATAATGCCTTGTCCATGTGAGCAGACAAGGCATTATATTATACATATCTATGTAATGCAGAGATTGTTTATGGACAGGGAAAATATTCCTGAACAGAGAAGGAATAAAAGAGAGCAGAGATTTTAACTTGTTGGTTAAAACAGACTTAGTGAACAAACACTGTTAGCAAAAAAGTATTTGGGGATTATCTTGAACAGGTGTCCCTCTGTACCAGATTTGGATAACTTCCCCTCTGGATCTGCATTCACTTCTTAAAGAACCTGTTATAAAATGCACTTGCTGTTTGTTGGTTTTTCTTTAAACATCCTGATTGCTTTTTGATGACACTGTACAAACACACAGTTAGAATCAAGTGCTAGAAATAGCTTCCTAGAACTCAAATTGATTTTTTAGATAAGAAAGTAAACATGTGCATGTGTGCAAGTCATGCATGCATCCAGGCAGAACTAGTTATTTTTATTCTTCTAGATGAAATTGTCTGTAAAAACATGAGGTGCTATTTATTGTTACCATAATTTTAATTTAAAATTCTAACAGTGACATGAAGTGTTGTCTCAGCTCATTTAACAGGCTGTGAAATGGTTGGAGGGATGATAGAAATGTCTGACAAACCAACCTCAGGTAAAATGTAGTTACTCATATTTGCTACTCAACCCCTGATTTTCCATAATGATGAGTAAAAATGGGTCATCTTGTTAGGCAAAAAATATTATTAGCAAGAAGTGTTTCCATCTCACATTGAGGAGAACACATACACAGCCCAGTTTCATCCCCTCCCCATGGTTTGACTTTGAGGGGAGCTGGAGTAGGGGAAAAAAATTAGCTGGGCTGGTTTCCTTCAGTGCAGCTGAGGTAAGCTTGAAGAGAGGGTGTGCTGCCCATCAGCTCAGCCATGGAGTGTTCTTTGCAGCAAACTTCTGCCCCTGGATCCTTCTACACCTTGGAATGATATCCCAGTCCCTCCTACATATGAATGGACAATTGCCACCCAGCACCCCAGTGATTCCACAAAAAAGCATCACCTGTATAAAAGATGTGGTCTGGCTCTGGGCTGACATCCCTGCTGGGGTGCCAGTATTGGCTGTGATGTGACAAGTACTTCTTGTTGCATTATGGCTCTTCTGAGGTTTCAAGGAGGCAAGTTATTCCACAGTGGTATTGCACTCTGAGGGCCAGAGGAGGTGACTGGATTTAGGGAGAAGTGGGGTGGAGGCACAGCAACTAGGGATGCTGAGAATAGAAACATTATCTGGCAGTTCTAAAAACTTCAATCCTTTTATTCCTATGGATGTATTTTTTTAATCTAAGCCCTTGAGTGGATGAACTGTTCAATATTTATTCAGTATCTATTTCTGTAAGAAACAGGACATAATTTGCAAGCCAGATTTTCCTTAAGGACCAGAGGCTTAAAACCTCTGATAGAAATTTCCAGCTAGAAATCGTTATTATGTTGCACATATCAATAAATATATTGAAAGTAATAAGACTTTTTTTCTGTGCTATTTTCATAAAATAATATTTACATTAATATTTCTTGCTTTGGCTCACTCTTTCTTGGCTGATCTGCATGACAAATGCCCATTTATGCAGCTGGAACCCAACTCAGGGCAGAAAAATGCAGAAAAACTGCAGCTTTGTGGCAAGGCAGGAAAAACTAAGTAGCTGCAGATGGTTGTAGCCCCAAGTGTGACTGGGAAAATTACTGAGAAAAACCAATCTTGTATGAATGAGAAACATTTCTTATGGTAAAGTGAGAGTTTGCAGGAAGTACAGATCCCTGTCCGTGCTCCTTTGAATATCCTCCCTGAGACTGGATCCAAACAATCCAAATAGTGTGTGAAATGCAAAGTTAATTTATGCTGGGCTACTGTGCCTCAGTTATTGTGCCAGCTGTCACCTCAAGATGTGCAGTGGTAAGGGTGAGTCACTATTTACTTCTGCTGCAGTGCAGGGGGAACTGGAGTGCAGGTGGCTGCACAGAGGGCAGCTGAAGTTGCTTGGTCTCAGAGCACATTGCTTTGCTGCTTTTCTCTCCCTAGATACCTATATTCCAGTACATGGAAAAATCAGACCAAACTACAAACTCACTTCAGATGGAGATTGTTTCCAAGTGTTGTGTTCTGCAGAGACATTCTGCATTGTTTGGGAAAAACAGGATCCATCTGTAAATACTTGGCCTGCATCTACCTTCAGGAAAAGAAAAGAAAGCCAGTCCCAAGAGCTACCTGGAGAATTGCTCCTTTTATCTGGGTGGCTGCTATCAGAAGTGGGTTTACACCTGCTCTCACAGAAATAGGTGGAGTCCTCTGTCTCTCAAAAGGAAGATGATTTTCTGGCATTATTTTCTCATGTAGGAGTTTACTGTTATATTTTTTTATATTCTCAGTGCATGTAATCACCTTTTCAGGTTTAAAGTGGCAATCCATTAAATGATCCTGTGACTTCTCACTTGCCTGTACAAGATCAATTGAGAAAAATCCTAACAGGCCTAACCTGGAACCAGCACACAGAGTGCCCATTAGATTGTCCCATGACACAAACTGAATTCACCAGCACACTGCCTGGCAAACATTTGATGCAGCTGCCTCAGATGGGTATTTTATACATCAAATGCTACCTGCAGTAAATACCCAAGAAATCAAACCAGGACTCTGTAACCAACAGAGGAATCCTGGTAAAAGGCATGGTAAGGAAGTGTAGAATCTCCAGGATACCCTCCTTGTATGGAATGTCCCCATAATATGGAGCTGAAAGGACCTCTCTGGGTTTAAGCAGCAGTGTTATTTTTGTGTCACCATTTCTCTGTGTGTATAAATGTCCCTCTATAAGCAATGGAGTCAAGCAGCCAATTTTGATCACCTTTGATTTTGAAAGGAATTAAAGATGACCTCATTCTTTCAACTGCTGTAAAGATAAAAAGTGGAATAGAAAAGACAGACCATGTAGATTTCTAAACTTAGGGAAAGGCTGCAAAACTTGTGCCTTGTTAGATCCTGTGTGTCCACATTGTCTTCTCAGCTGGAGAAAGGCTTCTAGTGAAGCTCTCAGCCACCTGGGAGGAGCCTTGTCCAACAGGATACTTCTGATGGGCTTGAATCTCTGCCTGTGTGGGAACAACATGTGAATTGGCTTCAAAACCAATGTCCCTGGTCTCCCAAGCAGAATACGTGTGACTGGTGTACCTTGGGTAGTCACTCATCCACTGTCCTGGGTTTGGGCAACTTTAGGATTTAGAGGATGATCAAACTGCAGTTTTAAGTCATGCAATGTTTAGTTTGATTGTTTTCAGGTTTGATCTCAGGAACTGTTTTCTGAATTAATATGAGGATGGATTTTATGTAATTTACTATTTCTGTTATAAAATGTATTTTGAGTACATTTATCTCTCATGGTGATTCAAAAAGACTACATTAATTTAATTTAAAGGCATTTCAATATAGGATTGACATCAGAAATACTGAGAGGAGTCAGTTTCTGGCCTCTGGATAAAGGAAAAATAATTCCTTGAACATTCTCAACCTTTACAGTTTCTTTTAGAAATTCTACAGGAACATGAAATGATCAACAAAATAGTTTATTGAAGCACCTTGGTATCAATGTTTAGTTGATGGCATCACACAGAATGTGATCCTGGTGCCATTGGGAGCATTATAGCAGTTGGAGGAGAGCTGCAGAATGTTTAAAAAAAACTTGAGCAGAAGATGAAGAAGCTCTCAGGATAAAATTAATCTGAGAACACCTGAAATAGCAAGAGTTTATTCTCAGCTGTTCTGGCTGCTCTGTGTAATTATGGCAGGAAGATAAGGGTGATACATCCTAGCTGACTAGGGCACCTGCATGGTACAGGATGGCATCTTCAACAACTGGGTCCATGACTACCTTAGAGAGGGAACCTATTTCACACTGCTCAGCTAAGAAAGAGCCTATAAAGTTTTCTCTTACCATAACTTTCAACATGATAGGGTTAAGCTTTAGCTCATTGTCAGACAGGTGATTAATTTTCACCTCAACCAATCAAAACTGAGCCTGAAGTGCATTACAATAAGGTAGTTACCCATATTTTTGTTTTGTAGGACTCCATGTTGCCTTTCTGCCCAGCTAAGAGATGGAGAGACTTTCAACTGACCTCAGCAGGCTGAAATGAAGAAATGAGTAACTGAGCTCCAGTAAGTGGCCAGGTAAACACCCTAAATTCCAGTCCCTGCCCATTCCACCAATCTATAGTGGTCACACACCATGGCAATCAAAGCCAGTGGCAATCAATGGGAACAGTTTGCTCTTCAGTTTAAATAAGTAGTCAGTTATAAAAAGCCTTTGCAATTCTTTCCCACGTGTCCAGTACAAATCTTCATAGATTTCTATTTAGGATAAATCTGAAGAGGAATTGAATGCATTTCTACTGGCACACTCTGAATTCAAGGAGTAGGTGTAGCAAGCTGTGGGAACTAAGAAATTAAGAAAAATACTGCAGTGCTGTCAAGAGTAGGTGTAGACATTTTGTACCTGCTAAACCAAAATGATGGGCCTAACATTTAAAATAATATGCTGATCTAACACTTGAGCAGAACAGTGATTTAGATAGACAATGATCTTTTCTCTGCTATCCAGTTTCCCTAATACTAGAAGGAAGCCAAATGCTTTGCAATGCAAATCAAATGCCAAATAAAAGGATGGTGTGATTCATCTGAAAAAAATGTTTCACTTAAGAAATCCCAGAAGGCAGGATATAGATCCCCTGTTTAATTCACCCTACCTCCTTCTGACTTCTGTGCACTAGCAGCAGTGACTGTGCAGGATTTTCCTTGTTTTGTAGGTTGTGCCTTTGGGTTTCTCTGCCATTCACTGGAGGTTTGTCTGGTGAAAAAAACATGATTACAATGCTTCCCTTTTTTGTTGCTGTCTGCTGCATTTACACTTCAGTTAAGGAGCAAGCAGAGTAGTTAGTTACTAGTTGAATCCCAAATCTCTGGATAATCTAGATGGCATAAAGCCTTCTTCTTTTCAAGTTTATGTGCTGTAACAGCAGCAGAACAGCTTTGTTGGAGCTAGACATAATGTGTGGAAAGAACATCTCACCTCATTCTAAACCTGTAGAAATGCCTTTTAAAGCCTCAGTCTCACATTCCTTTAAAAGCTAATACTAGAAGTGTGGTGAAATGTTTAATTTTTTAATTAAGCATGAATTAGATCTACTGAATGATGAGGCCTAATTTTATATTGAAAAAAACCTAACATCTCTAGAAAGTGAATGCAATGGAGGACCAAAACAGAAACAGGTGCAAGAATGTGAGAAGCCAGACTTTGCAGAACATATTCCTAATGTAGTGGAAAATTGCACATTTGAACCAGCTGAAGAGCAGGTATGCACTGAGCTTGAGAGGACACCATTCATGTTGCTTAGGGCTGAGTCCTACACATTTAACTGCCACTGGTTTAAGGGCTCCAGCTCAAGTCAGTGTCTGTAGGAGCATGTAAGGGCTGCAGGCACAGGCTCTTTATGCTACTAGCAGTCACATTTTGGGACTTTATTAAGACTCAGATTTGCTGAACAGACTGTACTGTAAAACCATGCTAATTAGCATCTAAAATTCTTGGACAACTGCCACAGATTCCTGGGAGCTGTCTACACCACTAGCAAAATGGTTTTAGAGTTGCTGATTGCCTGAAATAATTTGGGGCATTACTTGTCCTTTTGCAGTGATTTTGATTGTTTCCATGTAGTCATCCTGGCTTTAGACAAACCCTGCAGGTGTGTACCTGAGAGCTGTTCTCTAGGGTCTTGGAGGCAGAGATTGAACCAGTGGGTTTGTTCTAGAGTCTAACCCAAACTGCTTGGGATGATGCTGGATAGGAAGTGTGTCTGTGTCTTTTTCACAGGTTGTTTCAATTTTCTGTGTTAGGGCACTATTTGGTGAGTTGGTGAAGGGATGAGTTACAGTAATTAATTCCTTATTTGTTTATCTCTGCAGTAAGGTTATAATTTCCATCTGCTCCCACAGTTTACATCAAACTCATCAAAGAGTTTCAGCCATTCAGTCAAGGCTTTATGGATCAACTTGAGTCAAGCAGTGATTCAGTGATAATATGGTTCAGTCAACCTGAGACTTTCACCTGTTTGGTTCAATTCCACTCCATGACATCTTATTGTTTCTAGTTTACTTCTGTAGCCTAGAATGCCCTGTAGATTTTTGAGGCTCAGATCCCATCCCTGAGTGATTTAGGAGAGGCCAGACCCCACTTTAAGAGACATGCCATACTGTAAAGCAAAAGGGCACTGATCTGTCATCTCATGTTCTCCTCTCATTTGGTGGATTGCGTTTGCTGTATCCAAAATCCTGAACTCTGCAGCAGAGACAGGAGCCCAGGGCTTATCCTGGGTGCATGAAGCACCAGGATTGGGTGGAGACTTCTCTTTAAACCTCCCTTAAGCTCACTCTTAGCTATACTGGCTGTCCATATGCAGCTCTAAGTATCATACCTTGATTAAGCAAAAGCCTTTTGGCTCCCTGATGGGATTTCTCCTCTGAATGAACTGGACAAAGACTTTTTGGGAAAGTCACAGTACCTAAAGATAAATAACCTGGAGTGGTGTAACGAAGCAGAGCAATGCAGACTCCCCAGGCAGGTGCAAGAGAGCCCTTCATTGCAAAAACCAGGCCTTTTAAAGCAGTTAGGCCTTTATCGGTTACATTCTAATTAAGCGCAACAAATGTAACCAACAACCATAAACCACAATATGAACACATAATGGTTATATAATTTGTTTTTCTACTTCTAATTCAGCTGAGTCACTTTCCCATAGTCTTTTTCTGTTCAGCTGAAGTAACAGGCCTGATCCATGATTTTACAAGGGTAACAAGGCCCTTCCTTATTTTGTAAGGTTTTGCCTATATGCAACAGGGTAGGGCTTCCCAGTTGTGGCAGGTGCCCTGCCAGTGGTATGCAGAGGATTTCACTATGGCATGAAGGTATTTAATGAATATTTGAATGCCTCTCCTTGCCCTAAGAAACATGGCCCAAGATGGAGACAGGAACTCCAGAACAGCTGCCTCTGCCATCTCTGCCTCCAGGTGAAATGAGCACTCTGGAGTGAAGCAGAGCTCCCTGTCCCCTGCCTTGCCCCAAGGAATACATAGATTTGGTCCAGAAGTTCATGATTTTCCTCTAAGGCTAGCCCACTGTGTTTGTGCCCCAGTTGTACAGGTCAGGGATCCAGCTGAACTGCTGAGCACCTATGTGAAATCCCAACGAAGCAGTAAGGCTTTTAAAATTTTCCCTTCCTAACTGCATTTTCTTATATTTTAAATAAGCATATGTTAGCCTGGAGACTTCTGTCTTCTGTAGAAAGCTGTTAGCAACACTGTATATCTCACTCATTCCAGCACATTTTACTTCCCACAAATGTTGACAACCCTGTGCAAAGCAATGAGGATCTGTGCTTCTGACCATCACCTGTCAAGGAGGAATTCAGAGAGGAAAGCCAAGAAATCAGGGATGAGGAATGGATGGGAGACACTATTTGGCTCATTTGTCTCATCTGCTGAAGACAAACAGAGCTGCAAAACTGGCAGCAGAAGAGAGATGTTACTCCCATTCCTCTCCAGTCAATCTAGTGAATAATTAATGCACTTTTACTCAGTATATAACAGTATACTTTTAGCAACACGTGCTACTAGTGCAGCTATTGAAGTACCATATTAAAGATGCATAATTAGATGAACTGCAGGAACCCAAGAACAGGGTTAAAAATTCATGGCATGCTTTGGGGCAGCAGTGGTTGCTGCCATGAGCAGCACCCCGTAAGGGCACTCATCAGAAAGAGGCGGCGCCAGCCTGTTTTAGGAAAGTAAATTAAAAGGGAAGGAAGAAGCCAAGACGGGCACTGTCCTGGCCTTTATTTCTGGCACTGGCTGTTGTGGCTAAACTCGAGGGGGTTAGCGCTGCCGGCAGCAGCCCCTGAGGCAGCCCTGCGGCTTTCCCAGCGAGCCCGGCCGGCCGCAGTGCCGCGGGGCGCTGCTGGGCCCGGGGGCGGGGCGGCCGCGGCCGTTGTGGGGCGGGAGGTTTGAACGGCGGCGCCGCCGAGGAGGACGAGGATGATGAGGCGGCAGCAGCAGCCCGCCGGGCCGGGCGCCGGGGGGCCGGTGAGTGCCAGGGCCGCCAGGGCAGGGCAGACCCGACCCGACCCGGGCCACACTCTCGGGTGCCGCGGGGGCGGAGTGGCGGGCGGTGCCCGGGGGGCGGGAGCTGCGCTGTCTCCGAGCTCGGGTCTGTGGGGGCCGCGGGCTGCCCGCGCCCCGTGGGAGCTGAGGGGGCTCGCCTGAGGGGGGACGCGGCAGAGCGGCTGCTCTGGGCCGGGCCGAGCTGGGCCCCCCGCTCACCCTCCTCTCTGCAGGCTCTCGGAGCTGCTTCCTTGCACCTTTTTATTCTTCCTTGGTTTTCCGATTCATGAGGGGTTTTCTTACACTTCGAGTTGCTTAAAAACCCGAATAACTTGAGCTCGGGAGTGTCTGTGAATCTGTGGTTTTCAATTGCAGCAAATGCTCTTTCTCTGTTTTTTAGACAAAACAAATGTTTGTTTTGTCTACCTGCAAAATGCCCAAGCTGGTGTCTTGATTGTATTGCCCCTGTTTTAGGAGAGTACCCACTGCCTGGCTACTTGCTTACTTTAAAAATATATACTATACTTACGGGGTTTAGACTTGTAGGGCTTAGATGTAAACCACTGTGGCAGTAAATCAGAAGTGTACCTTGGAATAAGAATCTGAAAGCCTGTGATGAAGTTACCAATTAAATGAAGTAAAATTTCTACCTTCAGCAGCATCCGTATAATTTTTTTCAGCTGTTGGTATTTTTGTTTGTTTTGTGACTTTTTAATACTAGACATTTCTTATACTGAGTATACTTATGTGGGGAATACGAAGACACTTTTTAGAAGCGTTGCTGAGGCAGCTCCTGAGTGTGGGGCTGAAAATCCCGCAGCTGTGAATGGTCTGGTCTGGGTTGTGCTGCCGTTGGGGGGGAAGGATGGCCCTCACAAGGGAACGGTGTGCTGGTAGACAGCATGTGGCAATACAGTGCTGTGTCATTCCTCCGAGTCCAGATGGTGTGCCTGTAGTTTTAGACAGAATGAGGGGGGAAAAAAAGCTGACCCATCTCTCTTGGTAGGCACAAAGAACTTTATACCTTCCCAAATCAGGCTGCTAAATCCTTCATTCAGATGAGATTTACATAGTGTGGTTATTTTAGCTATTTTATCTATCTATCCAACAGCCATCTACTGCTAGTCCAGAATATTTTATGTGAACCTGGCTGAGATGTAATGTGGACTGAATGCATTGTGCAGTTCTTGAAAGCCAGTATGGGTACATGCAGATGCCCCAAATAGGAATGTTTATTTCCTTACTGTAGTTCTGTAACAGGTGATAGATGTGGAGAGGAGCCAGGGCAGTGCTGAGGCCTGCTGTCTTGGGAATTATTAGGGGGAAGTAGGATCTCATTCTTTGGAGCTTTGTAGCAGCTGATTTATTAGTTTAGGTTCAGAGAATAAGTAATTATTTCTTAGGGACAGGTGTGGGCCTTGCTTAGGTTTTCATAGCCATGTAAAATTTGACTTGGAAGAAAAGAAGATGGATGAAAGCTATTTACTGCTCTCCTCTTTTTTTTTTTTTTGGTTTTCTTTTCTGGGATGAGTCCTAAGAAAAAGTGTGAATAAAGATGCAGGTGCTGAGAATGCAGAGATGTTGTTGCCCTGCTTTATCTCCTTCTGGCTGTGATTGAAACTTTAAAAAGCAAACCTGTGAGGGTTAAAAATGGGATAGTCTGTGGTGCCATACGGGGTCCCAGGCTTTCATGTAGCAGCTGTTGAGAGTACCAGGAGAACTTCTCTATCTCTGATGTGAGCTTTGGGAGCCATTTACCACCAAACAACCATGAACTTGTTAATTCCAGAGGTAGCAGAGGCACTCTTGTTTAGTAATGGGAAAGCGTCGCTCTTCACCGGCCTGCAAAGTATTTGCAATGCAACCCTGTAATAGCATGACAGCATTCTGTTACTCACTCTGTTCTTCACGTGCCAGAAATAAATACTCGGGTTGGCCAGGGACAGCCACAACACGAGGTCGTGTGTATCAGCCATCAGTGGCATCTAGTGGCCTTTGGGAGACAGCACTCTGTGGTCCTTCACCTTCATTATTTCCTGGCCTGCTGTAGATTGACCTTTTTGAAGTTGCAAGTGAGGAATAATGCAGATTTATAATTTTTTTTCTGTGAAAGTAGCAGGAAGAAGTTGACTTCTCAGCAGTTTTTATAAAACCTTAAAAACCCCCACTCCTTCAAAATACAGTGATGGTGAATTCCAGTGACTTGCCAGCCATGTTTAGTTTAGTTCACTGTTTCAATGAAAAGTATGCCTGACATGATGCCTGCATAGTCTTGAAGCCACCACAGCTGTTTTCAGTTCAGGGCCTGATGCAGTTGAGTATTGGGATCAGTCTCCTTTTTTTTTCCCCTTTTGCTGTTACCTGAATTTCATATCAACCATAACTGAAAAAACAGATTCTCTTTACTTTTTTAAAGACAGTTGAAGAAGTGGTGAGATTGAATTTCTGATTTAAAATATTTCAGACATTTTCTTCAGTTTAAAATTTATTTTAGTAGAGGTCACTGTTAAAAGTGAGTTGTTAATTTATAGGCTTTGTTCAGTTAACCCTCTCTAGGACCATATGTTATTATTCTATGAATGACACATGGAGGTACATAAAATTTTAGTAACTTTCAGATGGTACAGTGAGTTAATCTTGGATTGGAATTTGCATGTATAATGAATATAGTAAATCTGTTTTGTCCCATGTTTTACTCATTTATTCCTGAAGAGAGAACCACCATTCTGCATTTAGGAACCATTGCAATTGCTGTGCATAATTAAAACCTAGAGTTCTCTATCCCAGCTGCAGAGGATGTAAAAGTTGAGAGCACTCTTAGTCAATTTTTAGTTTAATCCTTTGGTTTTTTTGCATCTCTAGGACTGTGACACCCAAGAGAAGATGAACTTTGAGCTCCGCATGCGGGAGGGGATCTGCAGGCTGCTGGCGGTGAGCACGCAGCGGGAGCAGCTCCTGCGCGCTGTGAAGAACCTGCTGGTGTGCAACGCTCGCATCCGGGCCTACAGGGCACAGCTGCAGGCCCCGGGGCAGCAGCAGTGAGTAACAGCTCAAATTCCCAGCAGGCACTCACTCACAGTCTGTCTAGGAACGTGGATTGAAATCCTTCCTTATCTCCTAAACATAAATTACTTCTGCCTTAAAGCATTACGTTATGAAATAATTCCATTATCTTCTCTTTGCTTTAGAAAATGAAATACAAGTCATATTTTCCTGGGTAGATTTTAGTTTTGACTTTAATTTAGTATCAAGTAACACAAATGGACATATTTTCTTGATTGTTGTTAGCATACAAAAAGGTGGCTAGCCAAGTCAAAACAAAGCTATCCAAGACAGAACACAGCTATTTGTATTTTTCATGCTTTCTATGGTTATCAAGGGTCCTTTAATAACGGCCCCATCACGGTTAATTGGTACCCTCTGCTGGCCGCTTATGCTAACTACAGCGAAGTGATAAATGTAACGCTCAATGGGAAGAAAAGTAGCTGAAAATATTCTCACTTTATAACTCCTGATGAAGCTAGAGTATGTGTGTTTTATTTGAATAATGTTACAAAATTTTGGTCTAAATGGAGTTTATTTGGGGTGCAATGCTGAGAATCATGGTGCAGAGACACTGTTGCTCTCAGGTTAGTAATTTATTGGAATATTATATTGCAGTTTAGTGTAAATACGAACTCTGTGAGTACATGCTTGGCTCCAGTTCATTGTGTCTGTAGGAGCAGTTCCACTATTTTTCAGTCTGAGAAATGTTCCCTTATATGTTGGAGGAAAGAGCAGTGTTTTCTGTCCACTATTCTGAAGCTGCTTTTGAAAACTGGCATATGATACATGTGGTATTCTGTAATTACTGCATTTGTATTGCTTTTTCTAATAACATAATGAGTTTTTCAGTGACTTATCTTTTATATATGTTTTTAGTGATGGAATAATATGAAGTGTGTATATGTGCTGATTTACTCAACTCCTTGTGTTTGTCAGTGAGCACAGAATGGTGGTGGCACATGTCCAGACCAGGCAGGGACACTGGACATGTATCTGAACATTGTGTGCTTGCTGTGTGACTGCCATGCATTGCTTGGGTTTCTGTCTTCAGGGCTATTGAGATGCCCGTGGGGGTCATTAGAGGAGATGCATGCTATAGAGTTATTTCTTTATCATTTAAATTATATCTTTGGTATTTGATAGTCCATTTGGAGCTCTTTTTCTTTTGGTATTTGCTTCAGACTGGAATTTGTTTAAGGCTTAATTATTGCAGAGAGAAAATTCTAGGATTTGTCATCTGTGAGTTCTGATGATATTCTAACTGCCTCTGGAAGTCATGATGCTGCTAGCAGCTAGAAGTTTTCATTTTATTAATAGAGGAGGAGGCAATTCTTTAAACAATAATAGAACCAATAAATTAAGTTGCATCCTCATTGACACATACAGAAGGCAAAAATTGATAATGTATTAGATCCTGTTGCAGCTGGAAAAGACAAGGAAGATGTGTGTGTGACTTTACTTTGGAGTAAAGTCTTCTAAGGAATTTTAAAAAATGGTGGTGTACCTTCCTCCCAGATTATGCTTAAGAAATTAATGACTCATATCTTAAACCAGAGATACCAAAATTAACTTTAAAGAAAAGCATTTGAAATGAGCTTTAATATGAAAATCCTGACACTTCTTAATGTTTAAAGGGTTGAGTTTTAGATATCTAAACGCACAGATCTAAATATCTTTTTTATTTTCTTCTTTCTGGAGGTCTTCAGAGAATGGGACAAAAGACCGGACGGCATGCAGAGCAAGGGTTGCTATATCAGGTAAGAGGCCGGGGAGTCACTTAATTACAGATGCTAATTAGCTGGACAGTGTCTTCTAATACAAACTATACAGAAAAGATGGTATTTTTAAAGTGTGTATGTGGTTCAGAGGTATCAATCCTCTAATGCCACAAGGGGACTTGTGCTTAAGTTACACATGGGCTGTTGAAGGTCCTACCCTCTATTTCCATTTTACTCACAGGGCATTGCACAGAGGGAAATACTTCTTTGCTGTTTGCCACTAAACACTGAATGCATTTCAAAGCTGAATCAGTGTGAGTGAGCTGAAAACTTTGTTTCTCCCCACAGCAGCAGACTTTGAAGTGATAGTATAGGGATGTCTAACAAATTAAGAGCAGAATCATAACTAGTATGCAAATGTTATTTAGGCAATGCATTACTACAGCAAAGGTGTAGTGCTATGGCTTCAATGCAGGCTAGTAACAACATTTAACAGCCATTCCTCATGGGCTGTTTTCTAGCCTCTTCTCAAACTTCAGCACTGTGGATTGATTGGTTTGTTTGCCTGTGACAGTAGTGGATGTTACTACATTCAGCAGTCCTGTGGCTGTTCTGCCAGCTTTGCTGACACATCTGTTTGTGCTCCCTGACCTGCTGCATTAAGAACAAAATAGTGTAGAACAGCTCACTGCTGAAACTGTTTCAGTTAATTCTGCATATTTTGGTAGATCTTTAAGCAAGGTAACTCCTAGTAGGAGAAGAGTGATGAGCACATGGTTCAATAATGTTTTTGCCAGCACAGCTGTTTGCAGAATGTGTATCTGTCTTTCCTCCTTATGGCAGTTGGATGAAAGCATCTGTTTGCCTGTCTGTGCTGTGGTTGCACCTTTCTTCAAATGTGGAGAGCTATCTGCACTGAAGACTTTAGGGTCATATAATACACTTCTGCTTTCTATCTTTAGAAAATCAGAATGTTTTAAGAACTCTGTTTTCAGTATGGAAAACTTGCTTAGGATATGAAAGATCTAGCTAGCTTGTTTGAATAAGACCATAGGGGGTGAAATACACCACTTTGTATTTGGTGCTGTCTGTTAATGATTCTGCACTGTTACCAACACAGGGGCTCTCAAAACTGAAGGTTATGCCTCAGAAGTGTGGCAGAGATCAGGGAGAAGGGGAGGAAGCCCAAACTGCCTCTCTGTGCAGCCCAGCCTGGGGGTGCTGGCTGCTGCCATGCCTCCCCCTATTCACATACTGGTGTCAGGAAGCCTGGCCAGGTCCAGTTTACAGCAGGGAAGCCTAAATTTAAGGCTAAAGAATAAAAAGTTCTTGGCCTCTGCTGATTTATTCTTTCTGTAGGTCACCTCCTGATTTTCTACCCTCAGCAATCCATCCACTTATAAATTTATTAGTGTGTCACATAGTTAGTGCATGCCAGATGATGGCTACCAAAAAAGTAGGGCAATCGTGACCAAGTGCAGAAGTTTGGGAAGAGCTGTGCAGGACTGCTGGGGAATATGCTCCTACAGAAAGCAGCTATGTCAGATACTGTGTGGGAAGTGCATTCCTTAATCCACAGCTTTTCACACTTCTATCATTTTTACTTATCCCCCATATTTTTGAATAAATTATGTCATTTATGTTATTGTACCAATCGATTTTTTTGGTCAGAAGACAATACATCAAATGTTGATGAAAAGGCATGATCATAATTTAAAGTAATTTTATAAAGGGATCATTGGGTTTAAATTTGATTAATTGTAGTATTTGAATGTATCCAGTTTGCATCCACACAGATTTACAGCTAATGGTAACTGAAATTAAGGTGTGTGAAAATTGATCTTTGTTTTTGATAAATGACAGCTCCTTCAGTCCAAGAATGAATTGAAAACTGATTTACAAGTATCATGTTAAACTTGTTCCAGGATTGATTGTCTATACCCTGATGATTTTCTGACCAAGGTGTAAATTTTTCAGCCAGCAAGATATTGAAAGTGGCACACAGAAGTAATCCTTAATCTAGTGCTCTAATTGCTAACAAGGGCTATCGAGTGCATTAACATTGTCATTCAGAGTTTGCTATGATTGAAGATAGAGAAAGCTTTTGTTTGTAACTGTTTTCACACATGAATGTAGATTTGAGACCTTTGTATTTTAGGAAAGAAATGTTCTGTGCTTTGTCTCTGACAAAGATGAATATATCTATCTTTTAAAAGTTTGAGAGACTTCTGTAATGATTTTAATGAAACTATTTCTCTTTGTGTAAAACCCCCTATTTTTAGAAATGCTTGCTATGCAAATGCATCTTTAGAAGTGAAAGGCAGTTTCAGATCATGGTGATGTATTGATTTTTAGGAAGTTAGAAGTCTAAAGCTGTATGCTGGTAGCTCACTTGAAAGTTTTTTCGTTTTCGTGAACACTTAAAAATAGATGAATTTGAAAGTTTCAATATTGAAATAGCTTTTATAATAAGATGTCTCATAATAAAAATTAACTGAAATTTGAATTTTTCAGTTACCTTCTGAGACAGAGTGACTAAATGTGATTTCACTTAAATTTTGTGGGTAAACCCCTGTAGGAATACATGACAATCTGATGCCAAAATAACTGGTACCATTGTGCATCTTAGCATAATGAATGTGAATTTTTCCATCATTCTCATATGAAGGCAACACTGGAGTCAGCAATGCTTCTTTATAACAATATTGAAGACTTTTGTCACAAGACAGCTGAGTTCATGCTGTTCACTGCTGCCATCATGTGTCACTTAATATATTGCATATCCTTTTAAACAGCACCCTTGTACTTCAGAAATCAGGCTTGGATTTATAAAGCCCTCACAGCATTTGTCTTTTAACAGGGGACTAATAAAAAACATTATGTCTTCACCTGAGTCCTCTAAGCTGGAGGAAAATGTCACTTAGTACTATGTTGAGTTTAGTAGATAAATGGGAAAATTTAGTGAAGAAAATACTTTCCTAATATTAAAATGACAGGCATGATTTAAAATAATGGCTTTGTAATTGCCTCTCTACTGTGGTTCTGAAGTAGAAGGATATTTTTGTGTTAAAAGAAAAAAGATTTCTAAACTCTTTTTGCTGACTGAGACAATTCTCACTGGGAATGTGATTGCAAGTGGTATTTTCTCTGTGGTTAGCAAAACAAGACTGAAGTGTTGGCAGTATAAGTATCCCAGTCTTTTCATTAAAACAGGAAGGTTTTCCTCTTGCAGTGGGATGAGTGGTTTTCAGCACCAGGCAAGCAGGATTTTGGTTTACATCTATGCATAATAATGGGCTCAGAGAATACTTCTCAGAACTATGTTACACAGCTTCTCTGAAATGCTATTGCAGGTACTTTCAAAGGAGATTTAAAATATTCTTTATTCCAGCATAATTTCCAAACAGGAATGACGCTTCAAGTTCAACTAATTATTGCATTTTCTTTTGATGTGGATAATAATCTTGGAATAGTTATGCTGTTCTTTGGGTGGAAGGCCCTGTTACCACCAGAACATCAGAAAAAGCAACAGCACACTTTGTGTAACTTGTTTTGATCACAGATCCACAATATTGACTATAACTTAATCTCCCTTCCTTCTTTTTTCCCCCCTTTAGATATTCGAATACCATTAATGTGGAAAGGCTCTGACCACTTCAGCAAAAAAGAAAGTATGTAAGATGTAATTAATTACTCTGATAAGCAATGCTTATGCCTGTAAATTTAAACTGAATGAGGAAGTTCATACTCATTTCAAGCCCTTTTCTGACCTTTCATTAGGTGTGTATTTTACTCTTTGTTGTGTAAATGATTGTAATTTGAAGTTGCTGGTTGTAGCTAGAGGAGTTAGTTCAAAGTCCTGTGGTTCTGTGTTCAAACCCTACTCTAGAGAGTCCACCTGAGGAAGAATTCCAGAGGAAGCAACAGAAGAATGTATTAAATGGTTAACTGAGAAACTTGTGATTAAACACATTGTTCCATGTCTTGTCTGCACTTGAGAGAGTACATTGGAGGCTGTTTCCAATGAGAAATTTAAATGAAACTTGACTGTTGATGTTGAGGGTATTATTGGATAGCCTTCAAGTACATGCATTTTGCTGTGTCATGGAGATTAATCCTAAATCTGTTCCAGCTGTCACCTGGCATTGATTTCACTTTGATTTTCAATAGGGTCAGAGATGCAAAGCATGGCAAAATAGCCTAATCCTATGTAGCACATTCATAAAATGATACAGACTTTGGATCAAATGTTATTTTTTTTTGTGTAAAATCAATTTTACTAAACAAAATTACATTTGTACTAATGTTTTTGAAGTTGCTAGCAGACACTATACCAGATTACTCAACTTTTTTTTCCTTCCTAATAGAGGTAGGCATTTTTTCCCCTTTGTGTATATTGTTCTACCTATACAGGTTAATTATCATAAAATCCTATGATGAAGATTTGTGGTGGGGAGAATGTGAGGGCAGTTCCTTAGAGGTGTGAGTGAGTTTTGGGTGGTTGTGTTTCGTGGCAGTGTTGGTTCTGTGCCATGCCCTGTGGCTGATGCAGGTTCTCTGTGCCCTGTCCAGAATCGCAGCGCTGCGCCGTGTTCTGTTTGTTCAGCATGGGAGCTCAGGTTCTTGATACTGAGCTGACTCTTGTGGATGAGGCAATCACAGATATCTGTTTTGAAAATGTCACCATATTGTGAGTATCACTTACTTCTGTTGAATGAAGTACAAATATTGCTGTTTTCTTTTGCAGGTGGATGTGATTATGAATAAGATTGGCTGAGGTCCACTAGGTTTTGCTGTGGGCAAAGGAATCAGTAGAGGCTCTGTTCATTTTAGTGGGTGGAGGATCCCCATCTCTGGAAGGCTGGTATTGTGTACAAGATGATGCTGGTTGGAGATGTGCCAGTTGATCTGTACTTCTTTTCATTTTTGCCCTGCTGAAGCATTTTTCTTTATATAAAGAGATAAACTTACATCTCAGGGACAGCATTAAATTATTGCTAAAACCTGAAAGCATTATGACATTATAGGTGTAAATGTTATCTGTCCAGCAGGGTACAGTCTCTTTCCTCATGTAACACCTCATGTCTGTTACACCTACCAGAGCTTGACTCCACTCCCTGCCTTTTATGTCAACAATTTAGAGTCTGTTTTCTGAGGAAGACTGACTGAAAAACCAGAACTACCAAAAACTTTAAATCAAGATCCTGAAAACTGAGTTTAAATCAAATTTAAAACTCTCCTTAACACCCATTCAAGTTAAGAGTAGGGATAAAGATTTAAATCTGCTTCTTAAAATTATGAGACTTAACCATTATAATTTTCAGTGAAGCACTGCAACAAAAGCAGAAAAGGCACCCTAACTTGCCTTGTATCCCACAAGGCATAAAAAGACTTGATAGAAAAGCTTTTGGAATGATTTCATTATGGCATGTGTGTAATGACATGATTTGGATCTGAAAGATGAGGTTAGGCTTCTGGCTTGATGACTAAGCTTGAGAGCAGGAGAATCAGTAAAACTGAAAACTGAGAAAGGTTGTGGGCCAGAGGATGCAGCAGTAGGTAGTTAAGCTGGAAAGGACAGATTTTATTAGATAGCAGTTTTTTCAGTAATTTGAAGGGGCTGAGGTGCAGCTAGGATGTCTTTTAAACAGTTCAGTCTGACTTAGGACCATAGGCAGGGATAGGTTTCCAATCATGTGATTTTTGTGTAACAGTAGAGGGCAGATTTAAGTGTGTTTGAATGTCTTGCCTGTGTATTTCCATAACGTGGGTGTTTTTTCCATTTTTAACCTAAATGTTGAATTTCCTGTTTGTAATTGTTTATGCTGCAATTACCATCTCATGACCCCAGTGCCAAGTTACTACTGTGTACTCTAGTCCTTAATTCCATATTAATGTGTATCTGTGCCTGAATGGTCTGGCATTGCTTCCCTTGATTAGAAATATCTTATTTAATCTATAAAGTAGCAGCAGCTTTCCTTGGCTCCACACACAGTTTGTTAACAAATGCTCTGAAATTTTCTCCTCCCCCATTCAGTGATGAAGCAAGCCCAGATTTCCAGGTGAAGGTTGAAGTGTATAGCTGCTGTACAGAGGAGTCTTTATGTATAACAAACACTCCTAAGAAACTGGCAAAGAAACTTAAAACATCCCTCAGCAAAGCTACAGGGAAGAAACTCAAAGCTGCACTGCAAGAAGACAGCACTGAACCCCTCTTGCCTGCTGACCCAGTCATCCAGTAAGCCACATATATTGATGTTCTGGTTTTGTAGCTTTTAAAATAGAAATAGGCCAAATAGAATTGTGAATTTTTGGCAAACTGCCAAGAAACTGGTTTTTTTCTCTACTTGCCCAAGTGAAAAAAAATTTACATTTTAAATAGGAAATGAGAAAGTAGGTGTGAATTCCAACCATGTCGCTGAGCCTTGGGGCCTGGTTCTGATCTTGAAACACACAAGCAGCCTTTATCTGTGTGCTCCACAGCCAGCCAGCTGCTAATTATCAAAATAATATTCTTGGTTTGATCTCTAGGGGAAGCTGAGCTTGTACAGTCTGTGTGTGACTCTGTCCATCCACCTCTTCTCCTTCTCCCTTCCCTGTTTATTTCCTCCCCCATACTCTTTCTGCACCCAGCCAGTGTTGCTCATACCTGACAGGTAGATCAGTGTAAAAGTTCCAAGATGTGTGAAATAGCAAAAGTTGTGCATGTAGGCAGGAGAACTCACTCCTGTACCCTCTGCCCTAATTCCACTGAAACTCTGCACTGCCAAAGGCACTTTATGGCTACTTAGCAGGAGATTTCTGAATTGACTTTAGCACAGGACATTTTAAAATGACTTACTGATTTTCAGTGTTCATAAGTGCTTTTCTCAATAATTTACCTGTTTCCTTTTAAAAATTAACTGCCTACTAATATTTTCCAGCTACTTCAATTTCATTGGGATTTAAGCAGGCCAAATACTGAATTTGCAAATATTAATAGCATTGGTTTATTTTATTGATTTATATTTTTTTAGAAATAATTTTTTTTTCAAGGAATTCCTTTTTTTTGGAAACTGACAGTAAAGAATCAATGCTTAATTCTCGCTACGTGTTTAGTCTTAGTCTAGTTTCATATATTTATTTGCTGGGATTTTAAAAGGAAACATTCAAGCATATTCTATCTTTGTTGACCTGATATAACTGTAAACTGATTTTTCTGTTTGACTCAAAAATAGACACCCAAGACATCTTATCCAGAGAGCAAAACAAATTTTATCACTGCCTTTCCAGTGGATTCCCCCTAATGACAATGCATTTTTCAATGTGCCTCATGTCAGGTGGCCGTGCTTCAGCTGAGCCATGAGACACAGTTTGGATCAGATGCAACCACTGCCTTCTCTGCTCCAGTATGGATTGCCTGTCTTTTCAGGAAAAACACCAGTAGGCAATTTAAACAGCTGCCTCCTCCCCTGGGTTTTGCTTTTGCTTTCTCAATTGAATTTTCCTTCCCTCCATCTTGGAAGTTTGTTGTTTCTACTCTAGATAATCATCTCACAGTGGCTATTACTTTCTTAACACAATTAAATGAACAATGAAGTGTTAAATGATGGCCTTGCTGGGTGATTAAAATAGTTGTTTGGAAAGAAATGGGTTCTTATAGGCAGAAAATAAGTTGTCAATTTTTTTATAGGTTCCCCCAAGGATTTATATTAGTTAGACCTTGGTATGTAGCCCTTATAAAAGGGAAGAGACTGCAAGATTACAAGAGATCTTTCAAGTATTCCCAGAGAGTTTTACCAGTCCAGCAGGGGAAATTAAACTGCAACAAAAAAGTGAACTTGCTCTATTATGCGAACACCTTTTCTCTGTAGATTTCATTTGTACAAGCCTTTTTCTTTCCAGTGCACACATGAGTGAAATTCTCCATTTCCCAAAAACTCTGTGATCCCTCTGTTTCAAACTTCTTGGCTTAGAAATCTCTCTGGTTAGTGAGGAAACTCTCAGACTTGGAACTTCTTGAAAAAGCTTAGTGACAAAGGGCTTGATTGGTTGCTTAAGTTAGTTAATTTGAAGTATACTGATATTCTCTCTTAATTGTCCCTCATTTAGTTTCTATACAATTTTTGCCTGCTTAGGTTTTCAATTCTAATTTTTTTTTTTCTTTTTACATTTTTCAAAGAAGAAAAAAATTTTTAGTGCAGTTTTGCTATTAAATTGCAGTGTAAGCAGGTTGCCCTTTGGATAAATCACTGGAGAGTGTCCCTCAAGTGCTGTTTGCTGGTTTGCAGACCTGGCTGTGCAGGCACTGCTTGTTTGATGTTTTGTCCCCCACTGGGCTGAAGGTGCAGCAGCCTCCCTGTCCTGTGTGTGATCACTGGCACATCCCCAGTGATACTGAGCTGAAGTACACAGTCTAATCTGGTGGCCTCACTTTATGGTTGGGTTCTTGTTAGCACCTGAAGGTTAGATTTGGTTTTACCCTCTATTATTTAAGATCTGATTGAATATTGAGCATATTGAATTTAGTTTTTTTCACCTCACAAGTCTTCCACTCACTCCTTCACTCACACTGAAAGAATGAAGTGAGATTGGGATTTCTAACATTGGGTTTAATATTTAGGAATAGATTCTGGAATTGAAGATGTCTTAATTAGCATACATGGATAGAGTGTTACAGTTACACCTTCCCACACCCAGGTCTGTGTGCAAACTTGGGTGCCTCTGTCTCTTGATCAGTAAACAGATTTAACAATGAGCCTTTGCCACAGGCATGTTGTGGGGATGAGCTGCTTGGGTTTTTTTAATGAAGTTGTTACATGGAAAAATACTCCAGATATGCAAAGTACTGAATGAGATGCAGCAGGCAGATTATTCTTTGTTAAACAAAGAAACTGCCATTTAAGGCAGTTAGCTAATTCTCTGAAATGCAAAGGAAAAACACAGTCAACAATCCTGATTAGCCAGTTAAATCTGAAAAATATCTGTAGATAAAACTTTCCTAAATTATATTGCAGCTGCCTGAAAGGAATGACTTGTATTTTAGAATGAAAATGTTACTGTGGAGCATATTTTAAAAGTGAAGTAGCTATTTTTTTTGGCAACGTTGTTGTGGTAATTAGTCATGCTTTAGAAAAAAAAAAAGTAACTTTAGAATCGGCACAGCAGTTTTATCTGTGAGAAGAAACTGAACTTTTTGGTACACTTTAAATAGAATGGTAATGCATTGCTCAACTGCTTGGTCAAGCATAATCAGTGAAGGATCTTTTGTTAAGGAACAGTTTAGCAGGGGATATACACAAATGCTGATGGGTCTTTGTTCAGATTTCCCTCTTCAAGTGCTTCATAGCAGTGGTTTTTCACCCAGCATGTTTTATTGTATTTAATTTTCTCTTTGTTCCCTGGAGACAGATATGTAACACACCTCCCCTCCAACAAACTTCCTACTTTTCCTCCTCCTCTGTCCTTAGGGCTAGGGGGAGGTTGACACTCTCCTTATTTATCTGCACAGCCAAAGGTCTGACAACTCTGTGTTCCCCCTGTGCTAGTAAGAAAAATAAAATTTGAGCAATACTAAGATGGAAAACTGTTCTTGATGATCTTAGTTCACTGGTGTCCTCTCAGCTTTTACACCACTAAGCTTTCTTGTGTTCTGCTGAAGTTATTTTAAGGATCTTGTGCTAGATCCTGTTGGGGAGAGTAGTTAGTGATTTGGAGGGGTTTGTTTTCTTGTGGACTTTGTTCTAACTGCCATTAGCCAGGTGGAATTCCTACTGCACTGCTGGACTATAAATCTGTTACTTGGTCCAATGAGTATTTTAGAGAAAAGGTTAAAAGTACTAAATTTATACCAGTTTATTCCAAGAACTGCATTCCACAATTGCACTGTGCTGAATTGTAAGAGTGATACTTTTTTCCCCTAGGCAAAATGCAAAACTAAGATAAAAGATTCTGAAACCTCTAAGTCCAGTAAGTGAAAAGAAAACCTTTCTGCTACAAAACTGACCATAGGATGTCTGTACAGATTTCTGCCTGTGAATCATCAATCTATTGGATTATATAAAAAATACATGTATAAACAACTGGTTTATAAAGGGTAGTCTGCATAGGCAAAGCAAAGAGCAGAGCAACATGGAGAAGCATTATAATGCCTTTTAATTTTTAACCTGTATTTTCAGATAAAGTTTGTCATCAGTTGTTCTATTAACTTTAGGAATTTTGGAACCTATTACCAAACCTAATTGCTTTAGGCCTAGAAATAAGAGCTGTAAACTCCTATTGAAAGTTCCTTGGTGTGTGCCTGGAGGAGAGAGGTGCTCCCAGCATGCAGAGGGTGCAGGGTTTGGATGGCACAGCCTGTGGGCCTGTTTGGCTGCTGCTGCCCCTTCAGGAAGCACAAGCCCAGCTGGAGGCAGGGACACCAGAGAGGGGTCCTGGCCTGCAGGTCCCAGAGAGAGGCAGCAGAAAGGGTTGGAAGGAGGGATGGCATTGGCCTGGAACTGGAGGTGCACCCGGGGGGCAGGAGATGAGGGTCTGGGAAGGACAGGACAGAATGTGGAGCAGGGTTTACAGGGAGAGCCAGAGGCACAGCAGTTGGCTGGGAAGAGGTTGGAGGTGTCTGTCTGTGGTCACTGCCAGGTCCTGCCCTGCCCCTTGCTGTGTCCTTGTACCCAAATGTGGTCTCTCAGGTGTGTCTGGACTCCCTTTAATGACTGCCTGAGCCACACAAAGCAGCAATGTCCTAAACATGCCTTTTCTTTCACATTTAGTGGAGCAAAGTTCAGTTTGCTGGCATACACCACTCTGGGGCTGGAAAGTGCTGAGGACAATTTCAGGACCCACAACCTTACCATTACAGGAAATGGTAAGTACATATGGTATCAATTTAAGGAAATAAAAAACCAGTAACATTTTGCATTAAAGTCTTGTAAACTAAAGAGCTTAAAGAGATTATTTTTCTTGATACTCAATATAGAACAACTTTAATAAAATATTTAACGGCTCTAAACCAGGCATCTGTACACAGCTGAATAAACTATAAGTTGAGTAAAATTTCAAGTCCAGATGAAAATTTAATTCTTTTGGGAGTTTCTTCTGTCATTTGCATCTCCATCTTATGTGAGTTGGAGTTATATACAAATTATTTCCCCTTCCTCACAACCAAGGAAGGGTATCAGAATGAAGAACAGCTTGTTTCTCTGTAGTCAGAAGGAAAAAGAAAAATTGCTTCATTTTGGTGAGATTGTTTGAGGCCCAGATTTAACACAGGATGGAAGAGTGTGTGTGCTTGCAGTCTGTGCTGGCTGCTGTCCTTCAGCTTGGGGGCAGCACGAGTTGGGAGCAGCCAGGCTGGAGCTGGCACTGTGGGACTGCTTATGCTGCAGCTGATGGTGGTGTTTCCACTTTTGGTACTTTGTCCATTATTTTCTGCAAGGACAGCCCCTCCCAAAAGCCATCCTCCAATTGTTAACTTGAGGCATGGGACTCTCACTGTTGCTTCTGGGAATTTAAATCATTTACTGGGGTAAACTTGACCTCAGAGGGAATTTCCTTCTTTACATTTCAGTAATTCTGAATAAGAACAGATTTGAAGATTTATGGGGCATTTTTTTCTTGAAGTGTTGGATGAATAATTCTGAGTATCTTTGATATTTGTAATCCTTTCTTTATTAGTATTTTATAACTTTCTTCTTGAAGTTCCTTTTTCTGACATTAATTTACATAATTTAGTCTGGTGAGGAAGGACATACCTGGATATTTGGTTCATTACAAGCATTTCCAAGCCTTGACCAAAGACAGTCACATTAGTGGAACATTGCATTACCTACTTCTAATTACAGAGGAGAAAGGCTATTGCACAGTGGAGCTGAGTGATTCCTATTCATTAGGAACTCCTTGGAACCCTAAATGCTCCTCTAGTGCTGAAGGCAAAAGCAGATCCAAATTCCTTATTGAAGCAACCTGAAGCAAAGTGCTCTTGTATGAATGTAGCTGTGTGCCACAATGGGATGGGCTCAGGCACTTACCTTTCAAAGAGTTTCTAGCTCTGGAATGAGCCACATTTTATGTAAGAACAACTCTTTTTTTGCAGAGCAATATTGCCATTTTTCCTTGAAAGTATTTTGGAATTTACTAATTTTTTCAATTAAAAAACATTTCCTGAAGACTAAAAATCAGTTTTAATCTAATCCCACAGGATTAAATCTTACTAAAATATGAAAATAATGCTTATTTAGACTCAGGATCTTAATGTGAAAACAGCTGTAGAAAGCTAAACTATATGTTCAGGGCAGTTTTTCAGACCTGAGTGTTTGTCTCTTTTGCCTTTTTCTTTCCCCCAGAGGAATCCTCTTTTTGGCTGCCCCTGTATGGGAACATGTGCTGCCGTTTAGTTGTGCAGCCCTCCTGCATGGCCAGGGATATGATGGCAGGATTCCTAAATCAGCAGGTAAGGAGGCCTTGCCTGTGTTTGCACCCTGGGCTGTTAAAAGCTGTCACTGAGTCAGCTGTTAGAGCATTTGCTGTTCCCTGAAGTGGTGTGTGGAGAACTGCTGCTCTTTACCTGTTCTGCCTGGAGCAAGGGGGAAACTCTCTCACAGCCACATTCACAAAGGTGCCTTCAGTAAAGATCAAGTAAAACTCTTGTTTCAGAGTTAGTGGTACTTGATGGCATCAGTCGTGGTGATCCCGTGGCTCTCGTCCTTGTACACAGCCCTTGTTGTGCTGCCACAAGGGTTCTGTCCCAGCATGGTGACTCAGGCTGCTGAACAGAGCCACATCTAAACTCCTCCCTTCAGAAATGATTCATGTGAACTCACTTTGCTTCTCTGTTTTGGTTTGTTGCACAACTGGGCAAATGAGAAGGTGATAGGGGAGGGCCAGAGGGTCTGGGTCATTTGTCAGGAGTGCTGAATTACAGGCTTTAAACTGATTGTGAAACTGTGATGGTTTTATGAAAGCTGTTCAGAAAATTCATTTGAGGAAGTGGAAATTCTAGACAAATGTCTTTGCTTGACATTTGTTGAATGTACTGTGTATTTCCAAAGTGAAATACTCTTTTTATTTCTATTATTGTGCAATTGCTGTAGCTAATAAAGGTGCTTTCTTTTTTTACACTAGACACCAGATCTAGATTTCATTCTGTGCTAACCAGCAGCTCTGTACTATTAGTGTCACATGGCAAGTCTGTGAAAACTGTAAAACACCAGAAGACATTTAAAGTGCTGCTAACATTTCAGATATCAGTGATTGGAATGTTCTGTAACAGAAAGTCTTTGTTGTAGGAATGAATTTGGTGAGGCTAAGGTTTGATCACTCAGGGCTGGTATGTGTGCCCCTTGCAATATTGGTTGTGTTTTAGGTTTATGTTTGGCAATTTCTCACTACTTCTTCCCCTTAGCAAATGGTAGGAGGTCTGACCAGCTGGAGGAGGCTGTATTGTGTACTGAGAGGTGGCAAACTCCTTTGTTATTACTCACCAGAAGAAATTGAGGCTAAAGTGGAGCCAGCATTGACAGTTTCCATCAACAAGGTAAAATTGGTTGTATGGGGATTTTTTGTTTGTTTTGTTGGGGTTTTTTGTTTTGTTTTTTTTTTTTTGGGGGGAGGTGTTTAAATTTTATTTTATTATTTTGGGGGATGTTCTTTTTAGTTTAAGAAACATGTGCAGTAATTTGGGCTCTAAGCTGCTGGTATGCAGAGTGCTTTATAGGCAGAATGAGGGTGGGATGTACTTCAGTGAAATTTGCAATCCCCCAGCAGGGGCATAACATTCCTTAGCTGTGGATGTAAATTCCTTCTATTGCATTAGACTGGTTAGCACAGAGGCAAAAAGGAGGGTGGTTTTCTATAGGAAAAGTAATAACCTTTTATATCACAGCTCTATAAGACAGCCCTTGGAAATGTATTGCTTACAATCCCCTAGCAATGCTTTGGTCGAATTTTGTCCTCAGCAAGGTGGAATTCCAACAAAAGCTTTTTTGTTGTTACGTGTTACTTGGCCACAGTCTTAATTAGAAGGAGAAATGGAAAATTTTTCAAAACATTTTAGTGCCTTAAAATAAGCTGCTTTTCTTAATGCTGGTTTTGTCCAGAGCATAATAACTTTGGAAATGCTGTTCTCTAGGATGATATTATTGCTGTTGTTCATGCCCTGATTGAAAAACCTGAGTTTAAAATGTAATTTTAAAACGTTGCTTACTATTTGGCCAGAGAAGCAGTAATTGACCTGAAGTAATATTTAAATCAGTAATGTTATGGAAGGACCTTGCAGAATGGCAAGCATTAGAGGGAACAGATGCTTTCAACAGCTGGCTGTGGTGCAGGCACCAAGGGTCACTGTCCCATGGGGGCACGGGGTGACACAGAATGACTCTCAGAGCAGCAGAATCAGCTCTGGGTGCCTTGAGGGCTCCTGCAGAGGTGACTGCATTGTTGTTCAGACTGGGACTGCTATGGAACCCAAACATTTAAATGGGTTGGAACAATGTGAGCTGTTTGTGTTAGGATGGTTTTTTTAATTGCTAAGATTTAAATTGATTCCTTAAATAAAATTACCTGTTCTTCTAGTGTTTTTTCTTCCAACTGTTTATACATTTACATTAAATAAATATTTATACTGTGATATATATTTAAGTAGGTTTACTTCTTCAGTCACTTTCACTAAGTCAGCCTCTGCCACAAATCTGTTTTCCAGCTGTTCACAGTATCAGTTAAGAAATGGTAAACTTTAATAAATTATAGAATGACTAAATAATTCTAAAACATGACAGGAATATTTTTTTAAATTATCTATCAGGCTGCCTCATGTCTTTCCTTGGGGTTCTGTTTTAGTCTAGATCCTGATCTTGCTTTTCATTTTAAAGTAACCATATTGTACTAAGACATTTTGCTCCTTCGAGTAACCTATGCACCTAGAACCTAAAATCCAGCTTGATAAGCCTTTGCTGAGAGATTATCCTTGTGTTTGCAGGGTGTCCTTAAAGCTAACTTGTAAAAGGTACATGATTTCTGTGTCTTACATCATTTTACAAAAATACCAGGCTGCTGGAGAATGACTGTGAATCCTTCTTCAATGGAAAAAAAAAAAATGCTATTGAAAACATATTTGGATCCTTTACTACTTAAACAGTTTCTGTTGAAAATAACTTAATGCCTGCAGATGTTTTCTGATTCCTTTGTTATGAAATTTCTCTTAGGGATTAAATGGAAGCAGACTAATCGTATGGGCTTGTCTGCTACATGTTGTTAAAGAAATTTCACACAGCAATTTCAAAGTGAAAGTTGAGACTGAACATCAACTCTAGACATTCTAACTAAAATCTCTTTGGGTTGCATATGTGGCATTTTCATTTGTAATGTGAAGTTGATCCTTTACATGTAATTTAAAGATACTTTCTGAGAAGTAATGAAATCATCTGGATTTATGAGAAATTCTCTGGAAAATGTTCACACCAATAGCTGTATTTCCAATTCCCTTTGAATTGAGACTTGAAGAAGCCATTAAGACCAGCAGAGTCATTACTTCAGCTTTAGATGACTTCACTGCTACTGCTGTTGAGCAAGAATGGTTCTGCAGTTCCTATTATGCAAGTGCTACTGTTATTGTTCCAGCTAAATGTGATTATAACATATTATATTGCACAACTAAGTAGGAAAAGAGAAATGATATTTTCTGTAGCAAAGAAAATTTACTGGAATCCAATTTGAAGAAATATCCTTTATAGGCCAGTTCCTGATTTTTTTTCAAGTTTTCTTTAATTTGAAATGAAAAATAAAGGCCTTGCCTACACGTGAAAGCTTATTAAATTGGTGCATGTTCCAGCAGTTCATGTTACTTGCTCAGTGTTTGGAATACATAAACTACTGTGTTTGGTTCATAGATGATAAAACTTTGTTTGTGCCATGGGTGCCTGAAGCTTGAGGGGTTCTGGGATCTTGCTTGAAATTGCTGCAGTCCCACGATTTCCTCCCTGGCACGTTTTGCCCCTGCAGTCCTGGGGCTCTGTCCGTGCCCCGCTGCTGGCTGAGGGCAGCAGGTGAGGAGTGAGGGCTCATGGGGACACTGCTGGCCAGGGCAGCACGGGCAGAGGCACTAAATCAGTTACCCTGAATGACAGTCCTGGGTGGTACAGCTGTGCTGGCCAGCTCAGGTACAGGGCTTTGGTGGGAAATGTGGTGATGGTTGCAGCAGTGTAACTTCAAGGGAACCATCCATATTTCTAGGGAAGCAGGGAGTTCACCCTTGGGCTGGAGCAGAGCAATGTGGATGTCAGTTCTGGACCATGTGAACTTTTAGGGAGCCAGCAGCATGAGCAATATTCACTGTGTGTGTTGGGGAACTCCAGCACAGGGAAATGAGATAAGCCCTGAAAATATTTGTATTCTCTGTGGTAAGGACTTTGTCCCACTGAGTGCCTTAGGAAAAGCCTTCATAGCTGTGAAAATCCACTGGAAAAGCACAAACTAGTCAAGTACCTCCCAGTGTCTGGTATCTCATGGCCCATTGCTCAGTTTACTCTTGCAGCTGCTTGAAAGAGGCTGTGGATGCAGGCAGGGGAAGCAGGTGGAGCACCCAGATCCCTGTCCCACACGTGCTCAAATTGAGCAGTTTGAAAGCTGCTTTATTGGCTCACTGTTGCTTCACAAAATGTTTGCTGGTCATGTATTGCTGTCTCCTTTTCCATGCTTTCAGCTGCTGCATTGCTCCCTAGAACAAAGGCACAGACATCCTGACATTGCTCATCCATGTCACACTGACCAGCCAGTGGCCAGCACGATGTCACATTAGTACAAGCTCACAAAACAAGGAAGGGACAAAATATTAACTGATAGACTGAATTTGGTCTTCTGCATAAATGTGTTTGAAAGCCATAATTTGAAATGTAACCATTTTTCCCTACTTGATTAAAAAAATTCATGGAAATTATTATTATTACAACGGAAACCAATGTGTGTACAGGTTATACTTGCTTCCAGTGTTGTACTGAATTTCAGTTTGTTTTATTTTTTTTTTGTACTAAAAACATGAAGAGAGTTTTCTATATGTGATTTGATTTGTTTAACCTTAAAATAGATACACAGACCTTGGTCTCTAGGCTATTCAGTGTTTTTAAGAACTGTAATTTGTTTTGATGTCTTAAAATGATCTTTATAACCAGTGCTTTTTAGTGTGTCAGGAATGGCTTATCAGGAAAATGTTGTACTTCAGCAGGAAAAAAGTTCTCTCTTTGTCGTCTTGTTGGCTTGAAATATAAGCTTTCCAGAGAGGTATTATCAGGCAAAAAGATTTTATTTGTGGGGAGAAATATATAGAGTAAGGTTGGTATTTACAAATACCATGTATTTTTCCCTTTTAGTCTTTCCCCATCTTCAAAGAAACCATCTTTTGCATAAAGAATATAAATCTGGCTTCAGCCTCCCCAGAAGAGTCACTTGAGTTCAAGATTCAATTGTTTTCCTGTTGCCATCCACTGATTGTTCTGCTCTTTACAATTGCTACAGCAGAGTTGGTTCAGTTTTTTTATAAGACTGGGAAAGATATTATTACAACATGGTAAATTAAAACACTTTTTGTTGTGTTTTTTTTGGGGTGGTTTTTCTGCTTGTTTTGTTTTTAATAGCTTTTTGTTGGTTTGGGTTTTGCTTTTATGAAGTGGAACTGGGCATGTCGTGTAATTCACCCAAGGCTGACAAATTCATCAGCCCATTGCTGCAATGGCGTCTCGTACGACTGCTGAAATATTCAAGCATCAGACAGAGATTGTTGCTTGAGGATTCATCTCCTTTGAATAATACCACAGTTGTGGGATAAAACCTGCAGCAAACATCATTAAATAAACTTGTGTGTATGGTGTGCTTGAAGTTCTTACCTGTCAAATGTTAATCTATTTGATTTCATTTTTTACTGGTATCTATGGTTACCTGAGTTAATGGGATATAGAGCACTGATGGATGAATTACTTCATCTCCTATTTTTAGACAGAAGAATTTAAATGAACATATCCATCAGATATGCTACAAGCAGTTGTTGGTATTTGAAATGGTTACTTCAGTAATGCATTTAAAATCTGGGGAATGGTCTGTAGAGTAACTTTTGTTTTTCTGAGTATCGGAACTAGGCTTATCCCCATGGGATCCTGTGCGTAAACTTAATTTCTGTAGGTGTATGGTTAATGTCTTTAGCAGATGTTTGACATTTGCTTGAGTTGTGTAGAAGGGAACTGGTTGTTCTGTCCTCCCTGATTCTGAGGAGCCACCTTTGCGGTCAGGTTCCCTGTGCATCCAGACAGGAGATGTTTGAACACAGCCCTGGCTGTGACTGTTGGCCTCCTTCAAATCCTGGCACTGCCCATGCCAGGAGTGCCCGGGGGGGCAGTGCAGGCTCCTGCTGGGGGTTGGGTGTCCTCATGTCCTGCTGGGCACAGGGCTGCCCACTCTGCTCTCCTGGCTGTGCCGGAAACCCTCGGAGGAGCAGTGCTGTAGTGGGCTGCTGCTTCTCCAGTCAGCTCAAGCTGCACGTGCAAAGACATTCCCAGGGCTTCTCCTTTACTTCTCCAAATAAAGTGATGTTAGTTGTTTTAATTTGCTCATCATGTTGTGAGGAGCAGCAATGTTGACCAGTTGCCTCCTGGAATTCTTTTAGTTGTGTTTTGGCTAAACTTAAAGCTTTTAGCATTTTTCACACGTACAAAACTCACTGAGTTAGGGATAAGCGGTTTGTTTGGTTTTTTTTAAATTGTTGTAATGCCATAACAAAGAAAGAAAATACTCTGAAAATACCACTGGATCTAGTCTAGAGCAATTGAACCATGTCCCTGAACAGAAGGAAAAATCTTAACGGTGCTGCTGTGTAATATGAGAGCTTTTCTAACTCTAGCTGAAGAGATTTTTTAGACTTGTGTTATATTTCTTGGATATATATACACACATTTAATTATTTCTATGTAGCTTTTCCTAATTAAGTTAAAACTAAAATGTCTATTTTAAAATGGGAAATGTTTTTTTTTTTCTATTAGAACAAAATCTTATTCTAGTAAAACTGTATGGGTTACTGCTACAAGTGCCCCTTTAAAGATGGCCTAGGTAAGTTTTTTTAAATTTTCCCGCACTATTGTATTACCCTGAATGTCCTGCTGCACTATGAACATTAAAAGGATACAAGTTTGCAATGCAGTGGGTAAACAGTGGCCCACAGAAGTGCAGTAGCAGGTGTAAATGGTGGCTGTAATAATGTGCTTGTCCATCTGAATCGTTTGGAGAAAAGGAGCTGCTTGCTGTTATTGTAGATTATTCACTAAACTGCTGTGGAGAAGAGCGAGCACTGTGAGGTGAGCTGGTGAAGGTAGAGAGAAGGGGAACACAGAATTACAGTACATTCTGTAATTCAGACTGAACTGTAGTAATTGTGCTTTATTCCCTTATTTTTCATGTTTTATGCTATTTTAACAGTTTTATGATAAAACAATTTTATAATCAGTTCCTGACATTGGTTCTTTTTTTTCCATTGGGTATTAATCTGAAGTAGACAAAAAAAGCAAATTCTACCTTCCTTACGCTGTCACTGGCCCTGAGCTGATGGCAGTGTGAAGCAGTAAGTCACCAGCACAGTCTGTTGTTCCTAGGAAACCAGGATTCGAGCTGTGGATAAGGACTCCAGCAGAAGAGCCAATAACTTCTCTGTTATCAACCCCGTGTCTGGAGAGGGGGTGACGCAACGTTTTGCTGCTGACAGTAGGGATGAGCTTCATCAGTGGATGGAGGCTTTCTGGCAGCACTTTTATGATCTGAGTAAGTGAGCAGTGCTGGCACTGTGCCCTCCGAATGGGGCATTATGTAACATCAAAGGGATCTTTGGGCAATTCGAATTGCAATTGCCTCATTAGCCTTTGTTTGCAGCAACGAGAAGAAATGTGTTCTCTGGGATAATGCTGGGTGGTGGTCGAAGTCGTTGGAAGGCAAATATTTGACTAAACCAAAGTCCATGTGTTCTTGCAGGAAATCAGAGGGAGAGTATGTCCATCAATCTCAAAAAACTTGTTCTCACAGCAGTGTTCTTGATAATGTTCTTAAAGACTGATAAATTCTCAGCATCTCTTCCTCCTTCCCACTGCAGTGGGAGGAGTCCACCTCTGCCTGGGCACCCAACCAGTGCTGTGCTGGTTTGGTGAGATGCTGCAGTATCAGACCTTGGTGTGGAAGCCTCAGTGCCAGGTGGTGGGGATGCTGGAATCGTGTGAGGCCTTGGCTGGGATGTGGATTCAGCCAGCTCTTGGAAGCAGTCACAAGTACACTTGGTGTTTCCTTGCTTAGCAATGTTATGGATGAATTAAATTGCAATTCGTTATAACAGGGATTGCTTGATTCTGTTGTAGTTCAAAGGTTTTGGCAGCTCTCATCACATGGGAATATGCTCACCCAGCCACACTCCATCCAGCTGGGCAAATACACACTGCTTACCTGGCTCTGGTAAAAGCTGCACCTCAGCCTTTGCAACAGATGTTAAAGGGTTACCCCGATCCTTTGGCAAACCTCTGGAACAGCCCTGATCTTACATGGCAGAGGCAACTCATTTATTGTGTGAAATATTGTTGAAATTGTGTATTGTACTCCTTGTTTATCACCAAATCTTTATTATAAAAACTACATAGATTAATTTGCCTGTGTCTTTTTTCTCTGCTTTCTGCTTGACTCACAGATTTACTGAGAGTAGAGACTGTCAGCTTTTGTGCTGCCATTGACAAAGTAGAGTTGCTTCCTGATAGGCATTTTTATCAGGTCAGAAAACAAAACCAGGTCAATTAATGAAATATCAGTCTTTAGTCAGAGACAACACCAATCAAATAATTGAAATGAGGCTGTAGAAACTCATAGTTGTATTTCCAGTCATTTTTAACTTTGATTTACAATGAGAAAAGGCACTATCAATTAAAGAAACACACCAAGCAAAAACTAGGGCATCCTCTTTAAATTATCTGTAGAGTAGGGTAAAAGATCTACTTCTTATTCATTATAGATAGAATACTACCCACAGATTTTTGAGACATTTTCTTTAGATTCAGAAAAAAATGGGTCACTTGGCATTTAAATGCCTTTTTTCTTCCCTGGTTCTAAAATTCTCTTAAAATTAATGTGCTCAGAAAACTTGGAATGATTGGTATGAACAAAGTAATTTTACTGTGTCTTGTTTTCCTTAAGGTCAAAATCTATTAATAGAAAAAGAGATTTCCTTGTCTGCTAAGGGATAAAAGGCAAGTTATCCTCTATTAAAAACAGAATGTTCCTTTGCCATGACATTGTAACATTGCTGTATAACATCCAGCTTGCAGGATATTGGAGGTTGTTCCTGATAACTTGATGAAGCTTCCCAAACCTTAATTTTTTTTTCTTTTTTTCCCCTTGGATTTATACTGTTTGGGGATTTGAAGGCAAATTATGATCTTTAAGCAGCACAGTCTGACAGTAATGCTGGGATGCTTAAATTCCAGCTAGGATCTTATGACCTTTTGCTAAGAGAATGAATACAGGGATGAAAATACAAATGTATCCTGAGCATTCCTGCTAAACAAAAGTAAATTCTCACTGTTTAGTATTACTTTGGAGATAGTTTCCTGACACAACCTAATAACTTCCATTTTTTTTTCCAGGCTGATGTGTTTAAGTTCCAGTCATTGTTCTCTTTTCTCTCTCAGGCCAGTGGAAGCATTGTTGTGAGGAACTTATGAAAATTGAGATTATGTCACCACGGAAACCACCTTTGTTCTTGACAAAGGAAGCGACCTCCGTCTACCATGATATGAGTAAGTGGGATTTGCCTTTTCAAGTTGCAGAGTAACAGAAACAACATTGTCTGAATTCAGATGGCTTCTGGTGGTGGTGGTGAAACATTGAGTTTTTCAAGGACAATTCAGACAATGAAAGAGCAACATAACTGCATACCAAGGAGTTGATATTAAATCTGAATTTGTAATAGTGCAAATAATGAATACATTTTTATACCTTGAGCTAAAAAATCTGTAGTCTACCCTGAACACACTCAAAACAGCTGTCACTAGAAATAAACACTCATGCTAGGAGTGGTATACAGCTCAGGAAATGTAAAGGTAAAATAGTCCAGCTTGCAAACCAATTGCATGAAATTAATCTGCCGTTCTTACAGCTATTTGAAGGCTCACCCAGCATAAGTTACCTAATTTTTTGGTCTTTGGCAATGATGTTGAAAAATATGCTTGGAAAATCTAGCTAGAGCATATCTGGGACCTGTATTTTTGCAGAGAAAAATGGTATGCAGCAGGATTTTTTAAATAGTTTTGTTACAGAAATAATATTTACAGACTAGGAAAAGTAGGTCACTTGGTTTTACTGGATCCCATGCAGTATTGACTGAGAAACACTGTACAACTCGAAATGCCTGACTGCTTGGGATGGAGCTGTGATGATGCTCAGAATGCAGTGTGGGTCACTGAGTTACCATGCATCAGAGCACTGAACAGTCAGGTTTTATGTAAGCTGGGAATGCAGAGCAGAAATGCAGTAAATGAACCACACAGAAGCTTTCCAAAGGTAACATGGTAGCATAATTTCACTGATACACATGGACCTCAGTGAGGAGCAGAACACAAACTCCATTTCACTCTTAACACACCATTTTTTCCTGGATTATATACAGTTTTTGTAGCCCCCTGTACCCAGCAGTGGTGAGTCACCTCAAATCCTGTGCTCAGCTCTGGGCCCCTCACTGCAAGACAGACATTGAGGGGCTGGAGTGTGTCCAGAGAAGGGCAATGGAGCTGGGGAAGGGTCTGGAGCACACAGGAGATGAGGAGGGCCTGAGGGAGCTGGGGCTGTTCAGCCTGAGGAAAAGGAGGCTCAAGGGGAACCTTATGGCTCTGTACAAGTACCTGGAAGGAGATTGGAGCAGGAGTGACAGGACAAAAGGAAGCAACCTCCAGCTGCCCCAGGGGAGGTTTAGATTGGATATTAGGAAGAATTTCTTCCCAGAAAGGGTTATCAAGCAGAGGCACGGGCTGCAGTGGTGGGGACACCATTTTGGAGGTATTTGGAAGACAGATGTGCAGATGTGCTGCTTAGGACATGGGTTGGTGGTGCACTTGGCAGGGATAACAGTTGGACCTGGTGACCTTTAAAGGCCTTTTCTAACCCACACTGTTCTGTGACTCTATTGAAAATCAGGTACTGCTGCTGTTTGAGGCTGGTACTACTGCAGTATACATGGAAAACTCAGTGAGAAGAATAAGAAATGGAGCAAGGCAGTCCTGAGGCACATAGAGAAAAAGGATATATGTAAAGATGTCCCATTTTCTACAGGCTGGCAGCACAGGACTGTTTAGTCAGACTTTCATGGGCCTCCTGTGAAACAAAATTTTCAAAGCATTATACAACAAAATCTATTTAATAACTAATACATACAGGCTTCCCTGTAGTACCTTATTTTTTCTTTTACTTGGAAAGAAATATCAGTGCCTACCCTGCTGCCTCAATGCCAGCTGTCACAAAAATAATAATTCCCTCCTGTCACCTCAGTTCTCTCTTGGATAGCATATGTAACATCTTCCATTTCATCCATTAATACTCCTAGTTCAGACTTAGTGAGACAGTTAATACAGGTTTGTATTCTGAGTAGTAATAAGAAAATAGATAGAAGCAAAATCATTGGTGGTGTTTTAATCTGGGTTAATTGCTGTCCCTTAAAATTACAGGCATTGATTCTCCAGTGAAACCTGAGGGCTTAGCTGATATCATCCATAGGAAAATTGAAGAGAGCGATGGTGAGTTCCTTCTTGGCCAGCAGCAAGAGCCTGCATCTGCCCTGTGGGCGTCACTCTTTGATGGAGCTCATGAGATGACTGTTCACAAAAACACGCATCCGGACCCCCAAAGAGATGCTACCAGTCCCAGTGACAGCAGAGGAAAGAAAAGAAGAGCTCCACCTCCCCCCTCTGATAAATCACCCTACAGTGCAGAGGCCCAGGTGAACACAGAGCAGCTGGGCAAGGAGAACTGGGGGAAGCCTGACCACACACCTGCCAGCAGCTCCTCCTTTGGGTCAGTGTTAGCTACGAAGATGCAGCAGCTGCAAACCCCCATTGCTCCCCCTCGCAAAATTGGCCTTTGTGGGCAAAGTGGTTTAGCTGGCCTGGGGAATCCTGTTTCTCTGCTGAGCAAGAGCAAGTCTGAAACCAAACCAGTCCCAACCCCTAGACATAAAGGCATCACAGAAATACTAGACCCCAGGTCCTGGTTGCATCCATAGGCATCATATTTAGCTTAGAGAAGTCTTTGGAATTTAAAGTTTCTCAGCCTTCTCCTAATACCCTTCATTAAAAGTAGATTTTAGCATTTAGCTCAAGTGTTTCCTGTGAGCCAGGGCATTACTGCTAGCTGCAGTCTCAGCTGTAGTCATTAGTGCTCTATCTGAATAATTGCACTAGAATGGGGGGGTGGTTCTCTGTCTGGAGTAACGGTGCTATTTCTGAAAACAATAGTTCAGTACTTTCCTCTTGAAAAAACCACAGTGTTCAGGGTAAGCTCAGCTGTCCCCACAGCAGGGATGTTCCCAGTGCCTCCTACCAGTCCCTCAGCTTAGCCCATCCACAGCTCCTCAGAATACTCAAGTGGGAATTCACACATTCAGCACAGATCTTGCAAAGCTGATTTTCTTGGGCGCCATGCTTGCTGCATCCTCTCCATCCCTTGCTGTTTAGGAAACACTGCCTATATGGTAATCGAGTATGAAAAGCTTTTGTGCTGTTCTGAATGGCTCTGTAACTCCATACACATTTCTGAGGCAGTTCCCTCAATTTCGTGTGGGATTTCCCAAGTTCCTGCTGGTTCATGTGCAATTGGAATGGACCAGAATTATCTGTCTTTGAGCAAGGATATGATCCATCACTGCTGGTTTATTTTGGGCTAAGACAAGCATTCAAAAGCAGTTGCTTGGGTATGTGCTCATCTTAGGGTTGTTTTTCCTGCCAAACGTGGGTCTGTACCACAGCTCTCCTTTGTGGAGCCTCTCAGCTGTTCCTGCTGGGGAGCTGCTTTGTAAGCAGGCAGTGATACTGGTAACAAACAGGGCTTTGCACCACTTGTTCCTTCTGCAGTAGCACAGAATAAGCACTTCAGGTGGAGGTACTGAACTCTGAGATTCTTTCATCAGCCTGTTCACTCCCGTTTCACTTCTATAAGAAGCACGGGTTGTTAGGGCTCCTGTGGCACCTACAAAGCATCTACTACATAAGAAAGAGCCGTGTTCTCTTGGATCCACAGCTGAATACCCAGCCATTTCCTTGACTGATGCATTTGTCTCAGATGCTGCAACTTATCCAAGGGCAAAGGTCTGCTTGCAGTTCTCCCTCTGGAGACTTGGTGCTCAGACCTGTGCTGAGAGGGTCATATCAGTGACTGTATACATACAGTTCATTATTTATCATTTTTCCCCCAAAATGTGGATGGCTCTGGGAGCTTTACCATTTCTCCATAAGATACTGTGGGCATGGTTGGTTGGTGGTTTTATTTTATTTAATTTTTTGTCTTCAGCTAAGCTCTTGGATCCACAGTTGTAAAGGTATCTGCTGAATTCCCTCAGTAGTTCATTTGGGATGGGGTTGAGAGGCAGGTTTCATTTACAAATCCTTTTGCAGGATTAGAGCCCTTTGTTCTAGAATGTCCTTGTTCATTCTTCATTTAATCACGTTCCATTTTCCCTCTGAAACAACCATAATCATTCTTACAATAAATCATGCTGTTACTTAAGTGGATGGTTTGTGAATGGCTTATAAATAGGAACAGAAAAACTGAAGAAAAACTACATGATTATGTAAATCAGACAGTCAACTAAGTGGACTGTGCAACTCTGAACAAGAAATGGAAAAAACTGGGAGGGGGAGAAGAATATTTTCCAAAATGCAGCTGCAGTTTATTTAGCTTTAAATCTAGCCTTAAATGTTTCTGTGCTCAGAAAGAAAAAACCACCTTTTCTTGAAACCCCCTTTAATTTTGTAGCTGTATTTTTAAAAAATCTCATAAATATATAAGGATAGAAGGCACCATAATGAGGATTTATTTTTACATTCAACAGACCATTGAATTTCAACAAGCTGTTTCTCTATTAAATTCAGTGGCTTTGTTTTGAACTGAACATAGGTATTTTAACAAGGCATTTAATATTAATTTGAAGGCTTCAAGTGATGAGAATTCACTCATACCTCCTGTTGCAATACTTAATTACCCCAGGTACATTCTTCACTTGATTTTCTATTTGCATTTCTAGCTCCACCTTAAGTTATTTTGGTCTTTTTATGCATTTGATTGCTTATATTGATCTCTGTAGTATCAGCTTTTCTAATTGCCTGTGTGTAGTTATAAATCATGATTATGTCCCTTTTAACCTTTTCTCTGATGAGAGTGAATTCCTTAACTTTCCTATGGCAGTGGATGTTATCCAAGACTCCAAGCCTAATTAATCTTCACGTTCCCTGGATTTCTCATGTACAGAAGTATTTGTAAGGGTGACATCTGCATTAGATGCCACATGTCAATAGTGATCCATCAGGACTGTACAGAGCCAGAATGTGATGCTCTTGCTCTGATGAATATCTCCCTCTCTCTTCTCAAAAATTGCATTATCTTTTTTTTTTTTTTTTTTTTTTTTTTTTTTTTTTTTTTTTTTTTTGTGGAAGCATTGCCTTGGATGCTGACTGTTATGGGCCAATTCCTCTTCAGAGTCTTTCTCAAGAATGTGGTACATCATCCTCTTATTATCTTGCCTTATATATTCTTGGAAATACAGATAGTATTTTACCAGCATTAAAATACTGCTCCTGAAGTGATCCAGATTGCTCTGTGTAAGTGACCTGTCCTCATTCTTTACCACTCCAGCAGTCTGCATGTCCTTTGCAAATTTATTGCAAGTGATTTTTACAGTTTATTCCAGATCATTGATTTTTAAAATTGAATGCAAGGTATGGTTTGTAGAGAGAGGTGATAAGGTTTTCTTACATCAGTGACATGGGTAGGGGGTGGGGAAAGCAAACAGGCAGGCCATTGAATTTCTGTCCCTTTTATCCCAGAGCTTTTAAAACTTCCAGTAAGATGGCAAACAGCTAAATTTCTTGCTGAATCTCTATTAATACTGTATCTTGACATTATTATTGTGATATTTTAAAGAAAATTACATGTTCAGAACGTGTACAGAAAGTTACCCAGGGTTCTTGTGGGTAACACCTCAGTGCAGGTGTCTCTGCAAGCCATGCTTAACATATCTAAGAGTAAAATGCAACCTGTTGCTCAAGACCTATTCTCCATGAAGCTGTGTTGATATTTTCTATCTATCCTTAAATTAGGCTCATGTGGGCCAGTTGATGATACTGCAGTGACCACCACTAAACAAACAAGGGCATTCATTATTCTGTTCATCTGCTTCAGAACTACATAATCCCTGCTATGAAGAAAGAGTTGATTCAGGTTTTAGTGTTTGTTGTTACTTTGCCTTCTTTCCCCTGCCCTGTTCTGTGTTGCCATTGGTGACTTTGCATCTTCTGTGAAGCAAGTTGGTTTAACCAGTAAAACCTGCAGGCTCCCAGGAAACACAGGAGAATGTAATGCTCCACCATCTTAGCAGCTGCATTCAATGAGGATCCTTTCATTGCATGGCTCAAAATATCAGGGATCAGAACCCAGAAGTCATTTGGCAGATTGCTGCTGGCATGAGGCTTGGAGGACCTGTGGCTGCTCCCAGCCCTTGTGTCCCATTCCCTGGTTCACATCTGTGTAGGCCAGCTGGAATGCTGTCCCCTGCCTGGGAGGTCCATTGAGAACCACTTCTGCCAGGGTGAATGGCTCCAGTGATCCAGTGCAGCTCAGGGAGGACGCTGGTGGCACTGCTGAGCCACACGTGGCACTGGAGACTTCTCTGAGGAACGGGTCAGGCCTGCTCTGGAAACTGTACCTGCTTGTTCTCTGCTGGCATTAATTAATGTGCTTAAAGCCAGAATTGAGTGATCTGATGCAGTCTTGAAGTGGGGGAGACAGAAGTCAGCCTGAACTATTCTTTTAGGAAGTACAACTTGAAATTAATTGCTAGTTCAAACTTGAATATAAATTTCACAGAACATGAACTTCTGAAATATTGACTGAACAAAGCCTTAACTTATTAACTTTTTATATTTACCTAATGTCTTCAGCTGTTCACGTGGTGTTGGAATGGTAGATGGTACTTTCTGTGGTTTTAAAGGCATTACCTTCAAATGCTTACATTTTTTCTAGAACTGTGAGGTTTTTTCCCATGGTAATAATACTAATAGTTATTTTATGGTGGCTTGTACGTATTTGAAAATACTGTCATAGTATTCAGAGTTGATTTCTAATTAATGCAAACTGCCTTAATAGAAAAATGGAAATTTGGACACTAATGTATTGTGAAATGTTAGAACAGAAATCTTCATATTTTGCTGCTAGCATATTGTATTTCTGTTAAAATATGCAAGTGAAATTAAAAACATTTCTAGAATAAAAGGTTTTTGGTGTAATTTCTTTCAATCTGGAGCTACATTAAGCTTTACTCCAGTGTATAAGCCATGGGTGATGGCTGCTGGAAAATGAGAGCTCAGGAGCGGCTCCTTTTCCCTTGGGCCTGCCATCAATGTACCCCTGCAGGCTCACACTGACAACAGCAAACAGTGTCAGCCTCAGGTTTCTGCCCTGCATGAAGGGAGGAGAAGCCAAACTGGCTTTCATCAGTTAAATCAGTGCTCCCTGCCATTCACTGAATCCAACAGACACCACCCTGAGTGAGCAGGTGAAGTCAGAAATGTTACCAGATGCACCTCTTCTCCACAAATGTGCCAAAACAAAACACCCTGGTTTAGCTTTCATCTTGCTTCTCTCATCAGGGAGGAAAAGATGCCATGGCACAGATTTACATCTTGCTCTCTGCCTTGTAAGGTGGCTTCATAAATAAGCCACTGACATCCATTGATTAATTAATTAATCCAGCCATTAATTGTTTTCCTTTCCCAGGCACCTGTGTGCTGAAGGGGAGCTCTTGCCCACCACACCAGCTAGAGCTCAGTGTGACACTGCTCATTTAGAGCTAACTCAGCTGCTCAAGTAAAGTGTTCTTTTGACCCAGTTACAAAATTACTGTAATAAATGCAAAAGGAATTGCTAGACATTTTAATTTTGGAATAAGAGTCTATGAAAAAAACCAAGTGGGATTGACAATTACAAGTCAGGACAGTGCAGCTGAGTGATTTAATGAAAATTGTGCTGCAGCCAAAGCTGCTGCAGTTTGCTTTAAGCAATCATGGGAATATGATATGATGCTCTCTTCATATAACCATTAGCAAATGGTTAAACTGTAATTGTTCCTATATGTATTATATACTCACAAAAAACCCCAGTTTGTGAGACATCAAAATAAATGGCTTTTTATGAGGAAAGAACAATCTTTCAAGATTTTTATATCAAGATAACTTTCTAAATGGTTTTTATGTACATCCCAAAGGGAGAAAATTTATAATAACTAGTGAAGTGTCTTTTATTCTGTTACAGTATTTCTTCACATTTCTATAAACTTCTTGCAAAATAGCTACAAAAAGACATTATTTATAATATATGTTGTTTCACCTGAAGGGTTTTTTGCAGCTCTTGTCCAGTGTTTGGTAGTGATACAGGAATGCTTGCAGAAGAAAGTCATTTCATCCACAGCCTCTCCCCAGCCCTTAGTAATTACAGGCTGTTTAATATGCAGACGTGGGAAGCCTTTTAGTCTGTCAAAGTTTCACTTTATGTCTCTGTCTGGACATGAATTCAGAGTGGCAGTTAAAAGTAAAAAATTGTATTCTTTAATTTACTTAAATTTTGGCATCACTGCTGTCTTGTAGCACTTGCAGCTTGATGATATGCCACAAGAGTTTTCTTTCCAAGCTTTAAAATTTGTGTATTCTTTTGCTAAGAAGGAAAGGGTCAGCAAGTGTTCATCACTTTCCTTTTTCCATCACTGACTATAAAAGTGGTTCCAAATACAAATATCATTGATTAAGTTTTATCACCCTAAAGGAAAATGGTCCCACTCTTTTCCATCTTTGTTTGGATTATATTTTCCATTTTCTAATTAGTGTCTATTTCAAAATCCCACATGTATTTTGATGATATCTTTCTTGAGCTGGGTTCCCAGAGCTGAACACGCACTACTCGCTCAGGGGCACTCTTGATTTACAAGAACAGAATATGTTCATTAATATTGCCTCCATTTTAGCTACTCATTGTGCATTAGCAAAAACCAAATCAAAATATTTCTATCACTCTGTGGCCAGAAAGGTGTGTGCCTAAATAAAGATGTAACTTAGGCAAGGGAAGATCTCAGTGCTGTCCCAGTGAGCTTAACATCTCACCAATTTCTCAATAGCAGGAAAAATTGTTATAACTGTGTGGCTGGCACGAGTGAGCTGCTTTGTCCTCACAGCATTTTTTTTCAGATGGCAGCAGCTGGTTTACTTTCTTTGGTTTTGAGTGGTCATTACTCCTCAATCCAATGTCTGCACAAAAGGGTTGAGAGCTTTTGAAATAAACTGAGAGCAATTTAAGTGACCTTCCCATGACGTGGATGGATCAGCCGGAGTGGCAGCTGCCAAAGCACTGAGCTGACATTCTCAGCCTGTATATTTGGCTGGTAAGAAAACAGAGAGCCTGTGGCAGCTTTGCCTTTCTTCTGAATCCAGACCTAGGGCCTGGATGTAGAGGATGAGAATGCT